AGCAGGAGTACAGATGTGTATTCGATACGATTTGTTGTTAGAAGAAGAAGAACCCTATAATGAGAAGAGATAGTAAAATTTACTTATAAGATAAGAAGGCGAAGATAAGTCACTTAATATGGAAAAAAAGACAAGCTAAATAAAATAATTCCCTAACTGCCTACTTTAATTGTTTGTCTGTCTGTCCGGGCTTATTTTAGAAATAATAGCTGAATCAATTGTGATAAAACTTCACAAAAAGAGACAATGCCAGAAGTGATCTGGGCTGCATGCAAATTTGTAAATCGAATATCTGATACCTAAATAATAAGTAGTTTTTAATTATTGAACTTTCACATAAAAAGGGCCCAACACAAAAAAATTGATGCAAAGTCGTTTCTTGAAATTACGAGTCAGTGAAAAAATTACAGCCGGTACGGTTCTGCTGAATGATACCTACAATACGCTTCAAATAAAAATAGGACCGTCAATGACCTCGAATGAGCGCGAACTGTCAACTACTACCATAGAATACTTTATTACATTGTGTATTATAGTATTCTATGACTACTACTACCACTTGAAAAGTCGTCATCATCATCATTACAGCCCTTCACAAGTCCATTGCTGAACATAGGCCTCCCCCAAGTACTGCCACAAAGCATGGACCTGGGCCATCTGCATCCATCGACTTCCTGCATATCTTACCAGGTCGTCACTCCATCTAGTGGGGGGTGGCCCTACACTACGCCCACTGGTATGAGGCTGCCACTCGAGAACCTTTCTTCCCTATCGGTTATCGGTTCTTCGAGCTATATGGCCGGCCCATTGCCACTTCAGCTTACTAATCCGTTGGGCTATGTCGGTCACTCTGGTTTTACTGCGGATATCCTCATTTCTGAGTCTATCACGCAGAGAAACTCCGAGCATAGCCCTCTCCATAGCTCGCTGAGCGACCTTGAGCGTCCTCATACGGCCGGCAGTGAAGGACCACGTCTCAGATCCGTAAGTCATCACTGGCAACACGCACTGGTTGTACAATCTAGTTTTCAAAGATTGAGGTATACCTGACAAGAAGATGTGTCGTAATTTCCCGAACGCTGCCCAGCCGAGTTGAATCCGTCGATTGACCTCTCGGTCGAAGTTGGACTTACCTAGTCGGACTATTTGTCCCAGATACACGTACTCGTCAACAACTTCGAGCATAGTGCTCCCAACAACTACCGGCATAGGTGTGACATGGACATTAAACATGATCTTTGTTTTGTCCATGTTCATCTTAAGACCTATCCGTTGGGAGACACCATTGAGGTTATTGAGCACAGTGCTTAGGTCCTCCAGCGATTCTGCCATAAGGACTATATCGTCGGCAAATCGAAGGTGAGTGATGTACTCGCCATTGATGTTAATACCGTATCCTTTCCTGTCCAGTAGCTTGAAAACGTCTTCCAATGCAGCGGTGAAGAGTTTCGGGAATATAACGTCACCCTGTCTTACACTCTCTCTCTCTCTCTCAGTTTGGTGGGTTTCGAACTCTGTTTCTGTACTCAGATAGCCATCGTAGCCCTACTGTACAAACACTTAAGCACTTCGATATAGTCAACTTGGCACCGCTGAAGGGACTGTAGCACCGCCCAAATTTCGACGGAATCAAAGGCTTTCTCATAGTACACATACGCCAGGCAAAGTGGCAGATTGTACTCTTCGGTCTTCTGTACAAATTTGCCGCAGGTTATGTATGTGGTCTATGTTACTGAAGCCTTTTCGGAAACCGGCATGTTCGGGAGGCTGGAAGTCGTCGAGTCTGCATGCGAGGCGATTCGTAATAACTCTCGAAAACAGCACGTAGACGCGGCTCAGAAGGGAAATCGGTCTGTAGTTCTACAAGAGAGCGTTGTCGCCTTTCTTAAAGAACAAGAATACCGCACTTATGCTCTACGCCTCCGGAGTGGTGCCACCATGGAAGACGGAATGGGAGAGCTTCTGAAGGACTGCAAGTACCGGTTTTCCACCCGCTTTCAGAAGCTTCGCTGTAATTCCATCCTCGCCTGAGGCCCTGCCGTTTTTAAGGTGCTGGAGAGCCATTCTAATCTCGCTCAGACTGACGTCCGGGATATAATCGGAATAGTGTCGGATACGACTTGCTCTTGGATTGTTACTCACACTTGCGTGTGGCTCCAACGATGATGTGTAAAGCTGCCCATAGAACCTCTCAATCTCACTCAAAATCTCAAATGTCCCGGAAACGATGCTGCCACACTCAGTCTTCAGCTTTGACGGTTGGCTCTTTCTGGCAGACAGATCTCTGCCAAAGACTTTGGAGCAGTATTAAAGTTGCGTACGTCTCGCCGCATGCATTTGGAGATCTGTCTGTTCAGTTGCCTGTATGTTGTCAAATCTGTTGACGATTGCAGCCTCATCTCCCGTCTGACAGCCATGAGATTAAGAGTGTGATCGGAGAGTTTTTGTGTTCTTCTGCGGCGGGTCTTGCAGAACTTAGCTCCGACCGCATGGACAGTTTCCACGAGGGCTTGTCATTCATATCATCCACTGCATTACAATCTTCTAGGCACTGAAAGCGGTTACGTAACTCGAGCTGAAATGTTTCGGGAATCTGAATTAGAGCACGAGGGGGACGGAGCGTTGACTTCATTAGACGAGACCTCTCCAACTTAACGTTTAGGTTCAGTGTGCCTCTAACCATTCGGTGATCGCTGCCAGTTTTCACTCTTGCGATCATTGAGACATCATTGAATAGTTGGCGTCTGGTCGTCATAATGAAGTCAATCTCGTTTTTTGTCGAACCGTCAGGGCTCGACCAGGTCCACTTTCTGTGGGGCCGCTTCCGGAAGAAAGAGTTCATCATAAAGAGTCCCTCTTTCTCCATGAAGTCGGCCAGCTGTTGGCCCCTTGGGTTCCGTTGCCCTATCCCAAATTTCCCTACCTTCAGCTCACCGTTCTTTCTTGTGCCCAGTTTTGCGTTGAAGTCTCCCATTAACACCGTATAGTGAGTTTTGGAGGAATGCATGGCTCTAGAAATGTCCTCATACATTTCCTTCACCTCCTCATTGGGATGTTCTGACGTTGGCACGTAAACCTGTATGACCTTCAGCGAATATCGTTTGGTGATTCTGAGTATAAGGTACGCAACCCTCGTTGATACACTCCCAATCTTTAAAACGTTGTTAACGAGAGACTTATGAACGATAAATCCAACACCTCCTTGGGACAGATAGTCGCCCTCCCGGAGATAGAACAAGTTGCCGAATTCGAGAATCACCGTGCCCTCCCCCTCTCTTCGGACCTCGGATAATCCTATAATATGCGAGCGCAATTTATCTATCTCTTCTTTTAGTTTAAGGATCTTCTCGACGGTCCTCAGGGTGCGTGCGTTAAATATTGCCAGATCGAGTCAACCGAACCTCCACCGGAGATTCTTAGCACCCCTGCCCCGCCGTTACCATGGTCGCCACCGTAGCCAGGAATAGCGGGGCCGCCGGGGACTAGGGGTCGTCTATTTGTGTAATCCTTCATGGGGGTATATTGCCATAGTTGCCACGCCAGGCGAGCGGATTGGCAACCGCAGTTTTTTTTGTTGTACAGTTGCTGTTATCAGAAAGATGCTGCTGCCCATCTCCTGCATGTTTCCCTCAGTCGCCTTTTAGGACACCCACGGGAAGATATGAGGTAGTGGATATTCTTAACCGCCACTACACGGTAATTACTTGAAAAGTACGGCTTGCAAAAAAATAATTTTCAAGTTTTATGTTTATATACTTAGTTTGAGTATTACCAAATCATATCAAAAACATACATACATAACAACATATCAAAAACTACATTTCCAGTATAAGCTGATCTCGCATTGTATAGGATGTCCGTACGATGCGAGGTTAGCGTAAACTGGAAAAGTATAGCTTAATATTTAGCCGTGTGTACTCATGCATGATTCATTTATCATCACCATCATTCATATCTTGTTTTTATTATAAAATTTCAGCTATCCGAAGGTTGCAATATTAAAAGAAAAATGGATAAATGCGACAAGAAGGGGTCCAAACTGGTTTCCAACAAAAAATAACACGATATGCTCGTCTCACAAAATATATAAACGTACTGAGAGGAGGTAAAAAAAGATAAAATTACCTAAATTAACACTTTATTTACTTAATAAAGTTAAAAACAATAATTTACACACTATTCACTTCAGGATGGCTGTATTTACGACGAACTATTTAACTAAGAACGCAACACCTAAATTGTGTAAGCGGAAAGTTTTAAATAAATATTTAAATTTTACTGGTCAATAAAAAATTGTGTGGTGTTTTGGTGAAACATTAGTGAACGTTATTAATATTTTGTTTCTTATAGATACTAGATATCGTTTATTTTAATTATTATATTTTCTGGACATATCGTTTTTTATTTGTTTTATTTTCAGGACTCCAAAAGAACTTTAGTACAATTATAAATAGAAGAATCGATAACTTTCCTATTATAGTCAATTACTAGCGTCTAAGTAAAATAAGTGGCTTTTGCACATTGAGTTATACCAAACTAGAGGAGCAAACCACATTACCGCGCGTCTCTCTAGTATATACTAGACACATTACACATTAATCTATGCGCGCATCGAAAAAAGTGTAACGCGTAGACAGAGAATCCTAGCATTCTCTGTCTACGGTGTAACGAGTAACGACTATCCAACTGCGACAACGTAGCTTTGAATCTACTAAACATTTTATATAAACATATAATATCTGTCTCACTACACAAGTTGTGAAAACAATACCGTCGCTAAGATTAGATAAAGATAGACACACAAACATGCAATGGCGGGTTGGTGTGGCTTACTATATGAAATTTTACCCAAAATATGCAATAAAAATGAGTTTTTTTTAAGTTGCAGTTAATTGTTTTTATCTGGCAACGTTGTGGTCGAGTCAACTGTCAAAGTCAGAGTCACTCAAACGTAATCAATCAAGTTGCCGTGCCGGTACAAAATCTAAAGTTTACTTACAATGTTAACAAAATTTTTACGTACCAGCCATCGGCTGGTACTTCGAAGAATCAATAATTTCACTCCCGTATTATTAAATCAATGTGCTGTTGCAAATACTTTGAATTCTGACAGTCTTCTGATATACAGACGAAAATTTTCTGCAAACGCATCAAATACTTCGCAGCCTTTAGAAATAATCAATCCAGTAGTTTTTGAACAAATATGCAATGAAACTCTGGAATCCTTGAGCGATTACTTTGAAGAAATAGTGGAAAAATCTCCCAATTTGCAGGGTGCGGATATAACATACAGTGTAAGTCGTTTAATACATTTTCATTATTTTCCTTGTATAAAATATCTGTTTATTATTTCGGTTCTTAATATTTAAAGAGATGATGATAATACTCATAATATGTTTATTTTACTTAACTTATGATAAAGGAATAAATTATTATGCTAGTGCTATATAGCAATTGGTCATATTAAAGGCTTTTTTAATTTGAATAATTATTCCGACTTAAATGTCTACGTTAGGTAAAAAAAATTATATCATAAAAATACATATGTTAAACTATAGGCATGTGGTACTCACATTTTTGCACAGGAATATTGATACAAAGTTACTTCTGCAACGGCTTTGGCACTGCGGGAAGTGCAGCCCCTTCCCCCTTGCGTAGCAAATAACGGGCACCCATGGCCTGCGAATGCTACAGTGGGCGGGGGCTGCTCCCTCTGCGCCTATGGCTTTACAAAAGCAATCTAGGGGTAGGGCAGACAAGACTTTGTGAAGTTGGGGTGTGCTAATTTCGTTTTAGAACCAATTTGACCAATCGTATCTATAAAATCAGTCCCAAATATCTATAGCTGTGCTAAGTGATATATTCTTAAATTGTTTATACTCCAAAGACATATCAACTTATAACCATATTTTACACTGTTATAATTAGAGATGGGATTTCACCAAATACTAATATTCGGCCAAAAGTTCAGTAAGTCTTTTACCGAACCAAATATTCGGCCGAACATTATTCGGCAGTATCATCTTGGTAAATTTGAAATTTGTTGCCGTAAAGTGTGTGGGTTTAGCGCCGGATTCTGCCCCTCGTTCCTCCGCCACACTTGACATGTTATTGCAACAACTGGTACAAGTAGTATTTTTTAACAATTTTTGTGAGAAAAAAGTGTTTTGTTGTGTTATTCACAATGAAAATTGATAATTATATGATAAAAATGAGTGGCAGATCTACTATTTGGATTTATTTTAGAGGATCTGACAACCAAAATAAAGTGAAATGTACTAATGTATTTTAATGTTTCTTTGATTGATTCCAACAACATTTTGTCAAGTTTTCTATTTGCTATAATTGGAAATAAATCTACAGTGCCTCCAAAACACTACGCAATAAAAGTACCTAGATTGAACCCATAAATAAAATAAACTTTCAACAGTAAAATTATGAAAGACATGGCATCACTCAGTTCGTACATTTCAATGCAGTGGACATCTTGAGTACTACTTTAACGAATGTTCGGTGATTTAGTTGAATATTCGGCCGCATATGAATGTTCGGTAAAGCTGCCGAATATGCAGAGTACCGAATATTAAACGAATATTCGGCCCGAAAATCAATCGCTGTCTGTTAGTCTCGCTAAAACTCAAAAACGGCTCAACAATTTTGATGAATTCGTGTATGCATTTGAGTGGGTCCCTGGATAGTTTAGATTAAATTGTCAATTGAACCCAATAGGTGGCGCTTTTGTTGATATCCAGAAATCACCCATGTGAAGCTGGGGAGGATCGCTAGTTAAAATGTAAATTTCATATCTTTATAATCATAGGTATTCTTGATAATAAAGATAAATAATAGAGATGTGGGGGGGGGTTTTGTTAGAACAAATCTTAATAGTAACCATTGATCTATTTTTTGGGAGACTATGCTGTTGAGTGTATTTTGGTCTCATTGATGAAAGGATATTTTAATAATTGTTTTATCTGTTGACAATGGCAGTTTCAGTCTAAATTAATCTTAATCACATGAATTCTAATGTTGTTGTGAAATTATGTGATCTATTAACTTATTTATAGTTTCCCTGTTCTTCTTAAACTACCCACAGTATGATATGGGGTACTGGATTCTCTCACGATGCCACTACATATCACTGGAGGTAAACTAAAGCCGGAGATGGCCAGCAGCAATCTTCTTATAACAGCTCAAACAATAAAAATCCTATGGTTGGCAACCCACCTGCCATGCATTGCAACTATGCCAAATATCCACCCTATGAAGTAATTTATGTTCAGCAGTAGAATATGTCTCTTACATAAGACAAATTAAAAGATAATTGAAATCCACATTAAGAGGATATCTTGAAAAGGAATCGTAGTTTCAGAGCGTGGCTTATTCCTTTGTCAGTGAAGCTCATGGACGGCTGAGGGAGTGTCAAAATGTAAGTGATGCAATGAGGTCATAATACACAAATTATGAGATAGCTATACTGAGCAAACATTCAGAAAAAGCTGTAACCACCAAACAATTTTTTTTAATAAGACTTCGTTATGGATTAAAAAATGGTTTATGAGAAGTTAGATATGATTACTTACTATGCCTTAAAAATAGTTCCATGAACTTATTTGTGAAATTATTGTGGTGTCATGGAAAAATTTAACTAATTAGAGCCTACTTTGATATTTTTTTCTATTGAAAAAATTACATGACATCGTGTTTTCCTTTTATGCAATCCAAGGTAATAAAGTCAAAAATCATATACTATAATTTTGTTTTATAACCTATAAAACTTAAAGAAATATGTGAAATAAAAAATCACCCAATTTTCGATATCACCTTAATCACAAATTATCACCTTAAAGAACATATAGCTGATGTGAAGAATCAATGCTTAGGGAAGTCTGCAGTCTGTGAACACGTATAGAATCGCCCTATCTACATCAGATTTGATAAACCACAAATCCTTGCTAAAGAACACAGATTCCTTCCAATGATGATTTGCGAGGCTATTGAAATCAAATAACATCCTTATTTTAATAGAGAAGGTGGATGGGTGCTACCATCTGCTTGGGATCCTATAATTAACAAAATTAAATCCCAACCCCAGCACACAACTGCAAGATTTCAAGATACTATAAGTTCATACTGTGTAGACTGGAAAAAAATAATAATTGTAATCTGTGGGTAACCACTAACCATAGTTAACTATTACATTGGGATGTCAAACACCTCAGTTCCCCCCATGACCATGGGTGCGGTAAAGTGCTCAAAACATCAGGAATATAAAAAGTTAATATATGCGATAAAATCTGTAAAAACTAGTTTTATTTAAAAGCAGTAGACTTGGTGGCCTTAATGTATTAATGATTGTTGTTTCAAATACCTATTTTGCATTATGTTCTTTTCTTTTCCTTAAAAAATAATGTCATTGCTCATTAACAAACATCTCATTAATACAGCATGTATAAGTTCCACTCTTACAAGATTTTCCTCATTTCTGAGATGATTTTAGGATAGAGGGGTGTACCCAATACTGCATCTCAATGCTTGTTGCAGGATTTCACATGTGTCCAAAACATTTTATTTAATTGTTCAGACATGTAGGTTACTTCACAATGTTTTCTTCACTGCAAAGCATGTAGGAATTCGGTAGTTAAAATTACAACAAACAATTTCATTGGTGTCAACAGGGATTCAACCCAGGTTGCTTGCATACTGTGAAATTTATAGAGTGTTCACCACTGAGCTACTGCTCTTATCACAACTATACCACCGTCATTGCTAGTACTTACAAAATGTTTTGTATATATGCACTTTTGAACTTATTTTGAAATAAATTTATAAATCGTTTTGTTATCCTTACAGGATGGAGTTTTAACAGTAATACTTGGCACCTATGGAACTTATGTAATAAATAGGCAAAGCCCGAACAAGCAAATTTGGCTCAGTTCACCTGTGTCTGGCCCTAAACGCTATGATTTAATATTAAAGGATGGAGGATATTGGGTTTACAAGCATGATGGAATGACTTTGCATAAGCTTTTACAAGAAGAAATATCAAAAGTTGTCGAGACTAAAGTGGACTTTGGAAATTGTTCCCATGGTGTGATCTAAATTATTTAATTCTAAATTTTTGTTAGGTTTTGTTAACTATTAAATAGGTTTTATTTTACATTTTGTTTTATTCTTGCTACAAAATGGAGGTAATTGAAGATGGAAATATTATGGATAGAATTCCTATTCTTTTGCAAAGGGACTTCCAATATTATGAGGTATGTAATTGGTGTTTTTCAACTACATAGTTAGTTCGGAGGATATGTTAATATATCTAATTATAATGTCATAAAATATTTAATAAGAAAAGATTAAATGTCAGCTGAGCTTATATGAAATGATGAATCCACTGTCGATGGTTATCAAGGGATTTTTCCTCTATCTTAAGGAAATAATAATAAGGTTCTATAAATAAAATTTCGGAATTATACCTTGTTCCTGAAACATAAAGCGTCTCACTCGCCTGCAATATATAATACCCATGTTAACATCTATTTTATCTTTAACTTTTTTTTAAATAATTCTACTTAAAATGTTACATCATACTCGGGCTTCACATTTAAATAATTCTGGAACTACTGATTCACATCCACTTATGTTTTATACAGCTATTATAAAATCATAATAATAAGGCAATGTGGGATACAAGAAATACATCTTTTAAATATGAAGTGCTTCACCTATCTGAGGATATGAGATATTCTGGGCATTTCACATAGTTACTTCCACTAGTTGGTAATACTCCTATTCAGCCTTTTACCAATTTTTACCGCCAAATAGCAGTGCTTGCACTGCCTTGTTCTGGTGTGAAGGGTATATAGAGCCAGTATAAGAACAGGCTGTGAGGCATTCCAACTCAGTCCTCAGAGGTGACAACTTATTGACAGTATTTCATGCTGGCACACTGCCTGCAACTTTACAAGGCGCAGGTTCGGCCGCACATGGAATAATGTTGCCATCTCTGGGCTGGGGCTCCCCAGTGCCAGCTTCTTCCACTTGACCGCATCCAGCGCAGAGCGGCTCGAATCGTCGGCGACCGAGTGCTTTCCGATCAGCTCGATTCATTGGCGCTGGCGATGTTGCATCTCTTTTTATATTTTATTGCATCTATCACGGGAAGTGCTCTGAAGAATTGTTCGGATTAATCCCAGCCGCCATATTTCATGAACGCATTACGCGTCAAACCTTCCGATACCTTCCATAACATCTGGATGCTTGGCGGTCCACCACTGAACATTTCACAAGGATTTTTCTTTCGCGTACGACCTCTCTGTGGAATAGTTTACCACCGGCGATTTTTCCGGACTGATACGATCTGGGAACCTTCAAGTAAAGAGCTTACTCCTTTCTAAAGTGCCGGCAACGCACCTGCAATCCCCCTGGTGTTGCGGGATGTTCATACGCGGTGGAAGTCACTTAACATCAGGTGAGCCGTATGCTCGTTTGCCCCCTCTTCTATAAAAAAAACTCATCTGTAGCTTTCCTTATTTGAAGTTGGCCGCAGGTATTTATGTATTCATAGATTGTAGCAGCCACTTACCATCACGTGGACGATAAATTATTTTGTCACTTCATTTTTATATAAAAAATTGGTCTTTATATAATACTTATACGACAGAAAGAACATAATAATTTCTACATTTCGATTCAAATTATAGAACCATAACTTACGCATATCGCAAACACAAAACATCGCCCGTTTTTAGGTCTGCTGGTTACCTAATTTTTATTTATTTTCATATAATTTTAGGAAAAGCAGACAGTATTATCCGAGAAAATATGTCAAGGTGTGGTTGGCGGGAGATTAGATTTTCCAAGGAATGCGTCATTTGCTGCAGTGAAGATCGTTTTATGGTTAGAAGAAGAGTTTTACATTGCATTCAAGTAGGTTTTTCTTCCACAAATATATTTTTTGTCTTATAATATTACAATATCGTTGTTCTGTCTGTTAGCAATTGTGTAGCTTCTATGACTTGACTGATTTTAGGTGATATATTTGGATGGTGTCGTGCAGAAATTATCCAACCCACAAACTGGTCAAAATAATGATCCAAAGGCTCTTTTTACAGTAAGAAAGAATTCTGGAAAACAGCAAATAGTCACAAAATCTACTTTTAATTTAATTTAAAATTATATAATAGGGCTTCTGCCACAAGAAAAATTCATTTATCTTTCGAATCTTTGTTTTTGTGAGTTGAAACATTACTCTACAATATGATCCATTTGTTTTGTCGAGACAATGGTGATCATAGATATTATAGGTGGCGCTGTAGTCAAATTATTAGAAATTCCGTATTTATGGACCAAAATGTCTCGTATTGTTTTTTTTTTATAGGTTATGGTGACAAACGAGCACACAGTCCACCTGATGGTAAGTGGTTGCTGTGGCACATAGAGACATCATCATCATCACACGTGAGGACTAAGATGGAATGCCTCGTTTCCAGTAAAAAGGGTCTCCGGTTCTCCACACTCGCCATACGACACACAGCAGCATTAAGCTACTATTTTACGCTGGTATTCTGTGAGAGCGTGGTCCTCCCCGGTCGAGCCGACCCATTTGTGCTACAACTGTACTACTAATATAACTGCAGCATGGCTCTACCACTTATAAATATAATGCTTTTGTTAAAAATAATATATAATGTTTTAGTTTATTGCAAAAAAAAATTTACAAAATCTATATCAATACAAATATTATATTTACACTGTAAAAGTCCAAAGTGAATTCTGCGTAAAACATACCGCTTTATCTACTGGCAAGAGCACAACAACTAATAATAATATGTATATAGTATAATTATTAAAGCGATAGTAGCCTAATGGAAGGGTGCGCACTGCAAACTCTGGATTGAATTCCAGTCCATTCGACTATTGTGGTAAATCACTCTTTACACTAGCTTTACTAAGCTTACATATAATGGTTAATGGGAGCATTAGTAATGAAAATACCATTACTCCTTTTGTTAATTAAATAACTTAGAAAAAAATTAAAATGTTGCAACAGTTAGCTATTATCACCTTTTGGAATTTATAAAAATATATTGATATTTATAGATATGGTCAACTATAATGTAATGAAATATAGTTTTCTATCAAACAATCTATTATTACTATCACGCATTCTTCGCATCACGCACAGGGATGGCTAAGCGCCCCAAAATTTCACAGAACGCGTGCGACTTGAAGTTGAACCCCGCCAGCACCACTGAAATTGTTAATTGCAGCAGCTTTTTGTCAATAACCCTTCACTTCCGTCACTAACCGTCCACTTTTGTATATAGGTATTTTCAGGTTGCACCAGTTAGCGTGCTCTACATCAGTGTGTTGGTGATGGAGAGCGGGGACTTACACGCCGATGATGATGTTCCTCATCACCAGTCGTTGAGATTTGGTTTTCTTTTTATAAGAACTGGTGACGGACGAACTTACGACCCACCTGACGGTATGTGGCTATTGCTACTCATTGACACCTGCAGTTAACTTCAAGCATAACCTGTAATTATACTGGCTTTCCATCAGACCGGAACACAGCAGTGTACGCTGTTCTTGGTGGCAGAAACACACACACACACACAAGCAATTTAAACTTACCACGAGTAGGGGAATATTAGTAATGTTTATAGCATTGTTAATATTTTTTTAAATAAATACGTGGTAGAGCCATCTGCAGCTATATTAGTAGTATAGTTGCAGCACGAACGGGTCGGCTCGACCGGGGAAAGAGCACACTCTCACAGAATACCAGCGTAAAATAGGCAGCTTTACGCTGCTGTGTTTCGTATGGCGAGTGTAGAGAACCGGAGACCCTTTTTACTGGAAAAGAGGCATTCTATCTTTGTCCTCACGGTTGACAACGCATCTGTATTTTGATTCTGTGGGTCACAGCAACCACTTACCATCAGGTGGACTGTGTGCTCGTTTGTCACCCTCAACCTTTAAAAAAAATAGTAGTAGATAAGAGGTTATAGGATCTGCATTGCCGTAATGCCGCATTCCCATACCTTTCTAAAGAAATAAAAGAAATTCATGTCATTTATCTAATGTGAGGGGATGTAGCGCGCCTGGCTCATGAATGATTAAATTTTTGACGATTGACCGATTTTTAATTAAATAATTATTTAATTTCAGCCAAGGGTCTGGAATGTTTGTGACCATAAATGCTGGCAAAAGCGATGACGGTGTGGCAAAAACATCTGACCCAGACAAATTCGTCCAGCTTGCAATAAAATCTAGCGATTCCTTACTTGGTAAATATATTTATGTGAAACCCAGTACTGAACATTGTTTATTATCATTCCAATAGCCAGTAAATTAGTAAATAATCTTTAGAATATAGATTTATATTTTGAGTTATTTTAATTTGGATTTACCTTGAGGAAAAATAGCTATAGCAGATATACTAGTATGTAATTGTAGCATATGATATACCTACCACTTTATGTATGATGATAATGATTATAGATCGTGGTACGTACACAGGGTTACTGCAAACTCGACTTCTTCGTGGCAACTGGAACTTCCTGGCAGGGCGTGATAGGGGAGTCAAAATGCTCCAAATTTGACCCCTCATATGTATGACCGAAAACGAACAGGTCTTGAGATATACGGATTTAAAAAAAAAATTCAATAATCATCCAGAATTTCACATTCAATTCTAAATAAAAATAAAACTTGTTTTGTATGCTTTCTTTTAATTATAATGATTTTCTTGAAGCTTCAACCAAGCTATTACAATCATAAAAAGTACAAAAAGTATACGCAATAAAAATTATGGGTCTCAATAAATAATAATGTTTTTCTTTTTTTGTACTTTATGTACCATAAAATGTCAGATACTTCAAAAATTACTATAACATGAGACTAGAGAGCTTGTAAGCAGAGCAGCGCTGCAGCTGTATATGGTTGTGGCACGAATAGGTCGGCTCGATCGGGGAAGGACCACGCTCTCACAGAATACCAGCGTAAAATAGCAGCTTAATGCTGCTGTGTTTCATATGGTGAGTGTAGTGATCCAGAGACCCTTTTTTACTGGAAACGAGGCATTCCATCTTAGTACTCAGGCGTGACAACGCATCGGCGTTTTGATTTTTAATCGATGTTAAATGTAGATGTCTTTAGGCCATAGCATCCACCTACCATCAGGTGGACTGTGTGCTCGTTTTATGCTTATTTTTTACACAGATCATTTCCTTCATTTTATCGATGTTAGTTATAGGTGTTTGTTATAATTGTTAGTTATATGGTTTATAGTATTTATAGGTTGCAGTAACGTTTCTTAAAAAAAAGACAGTATTAATAATGCTGAATTGCTATGATCATCTCTACATATATAAAAACTAATTGCTATCCGTTAGTCTCGCTAAAACTCGAAAACGGCTTGAACGATTTTGATGAATTTTTTGTGTGCGTTGAGTGGATCCCTGGATGGTTTAGATTCACAATTGGACTCGGTAGGTGGCGCTGCTGTCGATACCCGTGCGGAGCCGGTACGTATCGCTACTCTATATTATATCAATAGGTTTGAGTGGATCCCTGGATGGTTTAGATTCACAATTGGACTCGGTGGGTGGCGCTGCTGTCGATACCCGTGCGGAGCCGTTGCGTATCGCTACTCTATATTATATCAATACGTTTGCGTGGATCCCTGGATGGTTTAGATTCACAATTGGACTCGGTGGGTGGCGCTGCTGTCGATACCCGTGCGGAGCCGGTGCGTATCGCTAGTCTATATTATATCAATACGTTTGAGTGGATCCCTGGATGGTTTAGATTCACAATTGGACTCGGTGGGTGGCGCTGCTGTCGATACCCGTGCGGAGCCGGTGCGTATCGCTACTCTATATTATATCAATACGTTTGCGTGGATCCCTGGATGGTTTAGATTCACAATTGGACTCGGTAGGTGGTGGCGCTGCTGTCGATACCCGTGCGGAGCCGTTGCGTATCGCTACTCTATATTATATCAATACGTTTGCGTGGATCCCTGGATGGTTTAGATTCACAATTGGACTCGGTGGGTGGCGCTGCTGTCGATACCCGTGCGGAGCCGGTGCGTATCGCTAGTCTATATTATATCAATACGTTTGAGTGGATCCCTGGATGGTTTAGATTCACAAGTGGACTCGGTGGGTGGCGCTGCTGTCGATACCCGTGCGGAGCCGGTGCGTATCGCTACTCTATATTATATCAATACGTTTGAGTGGATCCCTGGATGGTTTAGATTCACAATTGGACTCGGTAGGTGGCGCTGTTTTCGAGTTGGAAATCACCCGTGCGGAGCCAGGGTGCGTATTGCTAGTCTATATTATATCAATACGTTTGAGTGGATCCCTGGATGGTTTAGATTCACAAGTGGACTCGGTGGGTGGCGCTGCTGTCGATACCCGTGCGGAGCCGGTGCATATCGCTACTCTATATTATATCAATACGTTTGAGTGGATCCCTGGATGGTTTAGATTCACAAGTGGACTCGGTAGGTGGCGCTGTTTTCGAGTTGTAGAAATCACCCGTGCGAAGCCAGGGTGGATTGCTAGTAAGTAATTTTTTTTTAATTTGTACCACCAGAACATCTCCACGTACTGGCTCAAGAGGCACTTGACCACGCTGATCTTCCGGTGTTAACCGCAACACTTGGGGCCGCCGCGTTACTGAAAAATAGTCTGTATTATTATGTCCAACATGTTGAAGAAACCGGCAACACTGAGAGATATTCTCGATTGCAGGTAATATAAAATACATAATATGTTAATATTAAAAAAAATTAAATTCCAAATCTACAAAATATAAAATAGACAACTCACATTGCACAAAAAAGAAAGCTAATTATTACATGGCATAGTATGTACTGTAGGTACGTATTTACAAATGATTTCATACACAAGGCTTAAAAATTTGACAGGCGTATTTGTATTATTTTCCTGTATATTGTTTTTTTTTAATTTTTTTTTTATTTACTTACGCCAAATTAATTGAAATCCCGATCTCTTCAAATGAGAACTTAAGTTCCCAGTAGTAGATTAGTCATAGATAAGAGTGTATATACGGTACGGGAACGTTTAGTTTGCTACGAGCTCCCAGAGTGATTGCACGCACCTGATTTAAATTTTATATTCACGCTTCGTTAAGTGTCTACAAAATAGCAATAACAATGACCAATGAAGAATCTTTTCGCTTTATAGAGCTCTACCAAGCCGAAAATTGTTTGTGGAACCCAAGAAATAAAAATCACAAAAATAAAAAATCTAATAAAAATAAATTAAAATAACAATTTCTTATATACATTCACGTAATAGCGGTATACTGTGAATAAATAAACGTAATCGTATTTTTTAATAGTTTTCCATATCACACTCTTCGGGTTCTTTTTGAACACTAGTATAACCTTCGGAACTTGCTGTTGTCATCCCTTCACACTGTTCTTGCATTGTATTTTCATTCCAGATATTTAATAATTGCAAAATGTGATCTGCTCTTCTTTTCATTATTAACTTCAAATTTTAACTAAAATAAAAATAAAAAGACTCAATTATAATAAAGCTCGCTAAGCCACACCGTATTCAGTAAAGAATGAATATATTTACGTATACGTATTCGCAGTCAAAAAATCAGTTACTAAAGCAAAGCCATGATCATTATCATCATCATCATTACAGCCCTTCACAAGTCCACTGCTGAACATAGTCCTCCACCAAGGTATGCCACAAAGTACGATCCTGAGCCACCTGCATCCATTGACTTCCTGCATGTCTTACCAGGTCGTCACTCCATCTAGTGGGGGGTCGCCCTACACTACGCCTACTGTTACGAGGCTGCCACTCGAGAACCTTTCTTCCCCATCGGTTATCGGTTCTTCGAGCTATATGGCCGGCCCATTGCCACTTCAGCTTACTAATCCGTTGGGCTATGTCGGTCACTCTGGTTTTACTGCGGATATCCTCATTTCTGAGTCTATCACGTAGTGAAACTCCGAGCATAGCCCTCTCCATAGTTTGCTGAGCGACCTTGAGCGTCCTCATACGGCCAGCGGTGAAGGACCACGTCTCAGATCCGTAAGTCATCACTGGCAACACGCACTGGTTATACACTTTAGTTTTCAGAGATTGAGGTATACCTGACGAGAAGATGTGTCGTAATTTCCCGAACGCTGCCCAGCCGAGTTGAATCCGTCGATTAACCTCTCGGTCGAAGTTGAACTTACCTAGTCGGACTATTTGTCCCAGGTAAACGTACTCGTCAACAACTTCGAGCATAGTGCTCCCAACAACTACCGGCATAGGTGTGACATGGACATTAAACATGATCTTTGTTTTGTCCATGTTCATCTTAAGACCTATCTGTTGGGAGACACCATTGAGGTCATTGAGCATAGTGCTAAGGTCCTCCAGCGATTCTGCCATAAGGACTATATCGTCGGCAAATCGAAGGTGAGTGATGTACTCGCCATTGATGTTAATACCGTATCCTTTCCAGTCCAGTAGCTTGAAAACGTCTTCCAACGCAGCGGTGAAGAGTTTCGGGGATATAACATCACCCTGTCTTACACCTCTCTGCAGTTGGATAGGTTCCGAACTCTGGTTCTGTACTCGGATAGCCATCGTAGCCCTACTGTACAAACACTTCAGCACTTCAATATACCGACAGACAACTAGGCACCGCTGAAGAGACTGTAGCACCGCCCAAATTTCGACGGAATCAAAGGCTTTCTCATAGTCCACATACGCCAGGCAAGGTGGCAGATTGTACTCTTCGGACTTCTGTACAATTTGCCGAAGGGTATGTATGTGGTCTATGGTACTGAAGCCTTTTCGGAAACCGGCTTGTTCGGGAGGCTGGAAGTCGTCGAGTCTGCGTGCGAAACGATTCGTAATGACTCTCGAAAACAGCACGTAGACGCGGCTCAGAAGGGAAATCGGTCTGTAGTTCTTCAAGAGAGCGTTGTCGCCTTTCTTAAAGAACAAGACCACCGCGCTTCTGCTCCACGCCACCGGAGTAGTGCCACCATGGAGGACGGAATTGAAGAGCTTCTGAAGGACTTCAAGTACCGGTGTTCCACCCGCTTTCAGAAGCTCTGCTGTAATTCTATCCTCGCCCGGGGCCTTGCCGTTTTTAAGGTGGTGGAGAGCCATTCTAATCTCGCTCAGACTGACGTCTGGGATATCATCGGAATAGTGTCGGATAAGACTTGCTCTTGGATCGTTACTCACACTTGCGTGTGGCTCCAACGATGATGTGTACAGCTGCCCATAGAACCTCTCAATCTCACTCAGAAACTCAGGTGTCCCGGAAACGATGCTGCCACACTCAGTCTTCAGCCTTGACAGTTGGCTCTTTCTGGCAGACAGATCTCTGGCAAAGAATTTGGAGCCCTGGTTCCGCTCGATCGCTTCTTTAATACGAGCAGTATTAAAGTTGCGTAAGTCTCGCCGCATGCATTTGGAGATCTGTCTGTTCAGTTGCCTGTATGCTGTCAAATCTGTTGACGATTGCAGCCTCATCTCCCGTCTAACAGCCATGAGATTAAGAGTGTGATCGGAGAGTTTTTGTGTTCTTCTGCGGCGGGTCTTGCAGAACTTGGCTCCGACCGCATGGACAGTTTCCACGAGCTTGTCATTCATATCGTCCACTGCATTGCAATCCTCTAGGCACTGAAAGCGGTTTTGTAGCGGTGAATTAGAGCACGAGGGGGACGGAGCGTTGACTTCATTAGACGAGACCTCTCCAGCTTAACATTTAGGTTCAGTGTGCCTCTAACCATTCGGTGATCGCTGCCAGTTTTCACCCTTGCGATCACTGAGATATCACTGAACAGTTGGCGTCTGGTCGTCATAATGAAGTCAATCTCATTTTTTGTCGAACCGTCGGGGCTCGACCAGGTCCACTTCCTGTGGGGCCGCTTCTGGAAGAAAGAGTTCATCATAAAGAGTCCCTCTTTCTCCATAAAGTCGGCCAGCTGCTGGCCCCTTCGGTTCCGTTGCCCTACTCCAAATTTCCCCACTTTCAGCTCCCCGTTTTCTCTTGTGCCTAGTTTTGCGTTGAAGTCTCCCATCAACACCGTGTAGTGGGTTTTGGAGGAATGCATGGCTCTGGAAATATCCTCATACATTTCCTCCACCTCCTCATCGGGATGTGCCGAGGTTGGTGCGTAAACCTGTATGACCTTCAGCGAATACCGTTTGGTGATTCTGAGTATCAGGTACGCGACCCTCGTCGACACACTCCCAATCTTTACAACGTTGTTGACGAGAGACTTGTGGACGATAAATCCGACACCTCCTTGGGACAGATGGTCGCCCTCCCGGTGGTAGAACAAGTTGCCGGACTCGAGGATTGCCGTATCCTCCCCCCTCTCTTCGGACCTCGGATAATCCAATAATATGCCAGCGCAACTTGTCTACCTCTTCTTCCAGCTCCAGTATCTTCTCGTCAGTCCTCAGAGTGCGTGCGTTATATGTTGCCAGATCGAGTGGTCGTTCGTCATTCTTAGCATCCCCTGCCCCGCCGTTACCATGGTCGCCACCGTAGCCAGGAATAGCGGGGCCATGCCATGTTAATAATATATAATAAGGCTTAATCGTTTATGCAGTGTTTAATAATAAAAAGACGGCACTACAAATACGACACCATAATATTATTATCATTCAGTATTGAAATACTCAAAATCAAAAAGAGTTATTACAAAATAAATATCGAACAAAAACTTGTCTTGCGTTTAGTATTAAAGCGTTACAATTTACTTCGCTGACGGCACAACCGTAACACTGAACGGGGTCTTTCAATACCAAGGGAAACGCGGTAAGTGTGTGATCTAAAAGAGGCGCAAATAGTACGTTTGTCCTTTTCTAGCCTAAAAAAGTCTGTTTATTTTCATTAAATTTATAGATTACACGTTTATAAGACGTTCGATATATAAAACTCATTTTCTTAAAAAAATTGCGTTAAGCCACTTCAATTATAAACGTGCGACATGATATTTTGACACCATAATGTTATTACTTATGTTTTGATATATCGGTCCTAATAATAATATATTGGTCCTAATATATATGCATAATCGGGCCTCTCCTATCGTAGAGGATTTGCCTTCATCAATCATCACTAGGCATGCAAATTGCCTATCGCAGGACGATATATCGAAACAAATTAACACCAATGTAGTCGGTTTCTTTGTTTTGTAATAATAGTTTACTTATATGATTCCCTAAATAGGCATGCTACAAACGTTTTGTGACCATGGCGGAAGCTGTCGGCGAGAGAGTTCTCGATCTCCACAACCGAGTTCTTTCATTGTACATTCTTCAGGACTCTGGTGGACGTCCCATTGAAGAACAGAGGCCTATACAAACTGGCACGCCATCTGTACAAGGGTGGTGGCTTTATATGAACGGTATTTAAATATTTTTTTCCTACTTAACAGAACAAATATGATAGGTTTGTTTCCAGAAGTGAAAGCTACACAAGATGTAAAACTTTTTAATGTATTTATTGGTGGTTCTAGAAATTTAGATGACCTTGTTATATCCTTAGGTGTATCCAGTGCAAAACCACTGGTCTCTTTAAGCATCGTCGCGTCGCGTCGCGTCTCTGTGTGAACTGACTCTTAGTCCACTCAAAATGGTCAAAAAATTCTGATAAAAAGTAGAAGCCGACTTCTAAAATTTAAAAAAAAAATCTAAATCCACATACACTGCCGGTGCGCCGCTTCAGAACCTATTGGGTGGATTTTTTAATTTATTTGAAGTCGACTTCTATATAGAATAGCAGCGTGAAATAGCAGCTCAAGGCTTTGTACGGTGAGTGTAGTAGAGAACCTGAGACACGTTTTACTGGAAACGAGGCATTCCAGCCCGCAGGTGTGTCATCGCGTCTGTATTTTGAATCTTCTTTATATAGGATAGGATGACAAACGAGCACACAGTCCACCTGATGGTAAGTGCTTGCTGTGGCCCATAGACATCTACATCTATCCTCGATTACGAATCAAAATGCAGATGCGTTGTCACCCGTGAGGACTAAGATGGAATGATTCGTTTCCAGTAAAATAGTCTCCGGTTCTCTACACTCACCATACGAAACACAGCAGCATTAAGCTACTATTTGAGGCTGGTATTCTGTGAGAGCGTGGTCCTTCCCCGGTCGAGCCGACCCATTCGTGCTACAACTATACTACTAATATAACTGCAGCATGGCTCTACCACTTATAAATTTATCGAGGATATATATAGATGTCTTTGGCTTCAACATCCACTTATCCAAGGTCCATCCACCATCAGATGGACTGTATGCTCGTTTGTAACCCTTATTTTAATAAAAAATTGGCAGATACTTAAAGTTTTTTTTAACTTCAATATTTTGCAGAAACAATTATTCTATTCTCAACGTTATCTCTATTTCATTTAAGGCAGCCGCAAAGACTTGTGGGATACTGTACCACCGAGAATGGCGCAGAGGATCTTTGCCGGCATGCTAAATGAAACATTGACTATCCTCACTGTGAGGTATTGTCAGGTATGTATATTGATAGGCCTTTTATAGCTTGTTATTGCAGTTCTTATCTCCATTCGGTAATCCATTCCTATCCCCAGTAAATGATGTAGAGGTCGACTGAGAGATATCCGTAGAATATCTTAGACCTCTATAGTTTACAATCGTCTTAAAAATTGACAGACTTAAAATATCCACTGTCAATGGTGAATTATAAGTTCTGCGTTTTGATAAAGGCTAAATATCTTATACTTCCTTAAGGCCTATTTCTCTCTAGGCACCTATCATCCCTTCACTTCGTCCCGTGTGTGTTGTAAAGTTCGACTAAGAAATGGTCTATCCGTTACTCGCCCGGTTTTCGAGATGTCAATATTTACAGCACTTCGATATACCGACTCTCAACTTGGCACCGCTAAAAAGACGGCATGTTACGAGACTTCTGGGTTGATGCCGTGAGATCTTTCTGGCATAACTCATAGTTGCTTCTTAACCCCTAGACGAAATGGAGTGATTGATTATTTTACGCCGAGAATTGCTTTGTGTACTTTTGAGTACAAATAATATTATAATAATTTTAGAATAATGAGTAGAGTATTGTTAAAATTAATTTCAAATTATGAAAGGAAATATTCGTTATATTTACGGGTTTAATAGTTTTAAGTCGGCTTTAAATTCTAACTATCTATATATTGATAGGATATTTGCCGTTGCCAACTAAAGTTGCTTTAGTTTTTTTTTAGTTGTTATGGGTATAACCTACTGCACATTTTCTGATTTGTTTCCCTCTGTTGGCTCTTACGACGTCTACAGACGATATAGAGTGATGGATATTCTTATAACTTAATATATAAAGGGAAAAAAATAGCTGTCAAACAATTTTTTTTATTAACTGGCTTTACAGCTCTGGGTTCTAGCTTTTCTGAACCTATCATTTCTTTCGGAATCTTCATTTTATATTTTCTTTCTTCACAATATGCTGATGTGTCACATTGCGAAGCCCTTGGGAGATTTTTACGACAGCTTAACCCAGCGGACAGATTACGTCAGCAATCAAGTTCATAAGGCGCCCAAGCGATCAAAATAACTTGAGGTTTATATCGACATCAAAGCACTTGTTTCGTCATTTTCTCTAATAGGTTATACGCGCGGACACTTAATTCACAAAATCGCATCACTTTTACGAATCAAAATCCACTTCAAACCATTATTCAAGCGACAAAACAGTAGCGACAATCCGTCTACGGCCAAGTTCCTGCCAAAATTCCCGTCAAACAATAATTAATAATTAATGAAATGAAAGTTTATTGTTCCAACATTTTCTTAAAATTGGTACGAGTTTGAGGACTTCTTTTAAGTATAAAGATACTTGTGGTAGAAGGCCCTTGCCCTCCCTTAACTAAGTACATTTAACATAATTAAGAGGATAGAGTAAGTCAGCTCAAATTCTAATTTCGCCCCCACTTCCCCGCGCGTCGTATGCTATGTACCGACATGTTTGTAATCACTAATACTGTAAGTAGAAAGGTCGTTAGACACTTATTTCATTAGGTTTATCATATTTATGCCTGTTTCTTAACGCCAAGCCAGCCGCTTCTTATTTTTATCACGGTTATTTCCCATTTTAATTTTACGTCGTACTGTTGCGTAATGTATATTCTGATCGTAAGCGACACAGCTTCTCCCTTCAAAAGCCTAAGCGATACTAACGGGGCGACTGGAATAAAGCTCAAGACGCCGATAGTTTAGGTAATTTCTTTTTACAGTGAAAATAATGGTATTTTAAAAAAAGTAAATAAAATAAATATTGTGAAGAGTCAAAATGTGTCGAAAAAGGCACGTATGGCAATTCACAATGCTGTGTTGGTCCCTACTTTAACATATGGTAGTGAAAGTTGGGTGTGGCAGAAGAAGCACGAGAGTAGAATGAACGCAGTAGAAATGCGGTCGTTAAGGAGTATGTTAGGGCTGAATCTTAATGACAGGGTAAGAAATTGTGTAATAAGAGAAGAGTGTGGTTTGCAAGATGATGTTGTGACCAGGATTAAGAAAGGAATGCTTCGGTGGTTTGGTCATGTGGAAAGAATGAATGAGGAAAGAGTGACAAAGAAAATTTATGTTGCAGAAGTGAATGGCAGAGTCGGAAAGGGACGTCCTAGGCGAAAATTTATCGACCAAATTGGCGATTTATTGAAAACGGGCCAAATTAGGAGTACCCTTAACCGACGAGCATGTATGCGGAGGTGTATGGATGTGAAGGAGGCGAGAGAGGTGTGTCAGGATCGTGCCAAATGGAAGTCTGTAGTCTCTGCCTACCCCTCTGGGTGACAGGCGTGAGTGTTTATGTATGTATGTATATGTAAATAACATAAGCACTGCTTTATAGTTAGTTCAGTTAGTATGCAAAGTTTCATGATCTTATTTAAAATATTTTATGAATAACAGCGGTTTATTGTTTATTTTGGAGGTAACTTTGGATTTTTTTTTTATCGAGAAAATTTTACGAAATCGTGTTTTCGTCTAACATAATCATTAACATTAATCCTCAACTTTACCATATATTTATTTCAAAATTAATGCTGCAATATTTTCGGCATAACGAAGGATCTTGCTAAGCCATTTGACATTATATTTCCCCTTAATAACAAATAATTAAATTTATTACAGACCAATACAACAGAGGCAACAACGCCGTTACTGTTAAATGATATATTGAACATATTACTCTGTGTGGCTCAACTTTTACCTTCGATTTGCGCCAGTGGTGCAGACTTGGCTGGATTGGACATTCCCAAACAGACGAGAGACGTGAGAGATCTCCACGCTAAGTGCAACGAGCTGTTTAAATGTATGATTTATAGAGGAGCCGAATTACATTTTCTACATCAGGTAGTTACTTACACGTTTTTATGGACCGTGCTGTAAAATTTTTTTCATCCCACAAAAACATAGTTATTCGGATTTGAAACGTAAATGTATTTTCCCTATGGATTATACAGGAAATTTTCATGTAGATTTTGGAATTACTTGTTATTTTTCAAAAGTCTTTAATTTCTAATAGAAATTACACTGAAAAAGAGCCTCTGGATCATTATTTTGGCCGTTTTTTTAGTTGGATCGTTTTTGCACAACAGAGTCCTTATTAGCTTGACATATGTAAGAATGCATATTTTGTAAGAATGCGATAGAATCGCTTAATTCAGATTTCATTCGCATGCGGACGTATGCGAATTCTGAAATTTTGTACACGACCGATGTACAAAATATTCAATTCTTATAAAATCTGAAATTTTCTAGATGTATTAAGAACAAATAACGGTACAATAATTTCATGACGATAAAAAAAAAGAATATTAACAATGCTATAAACATTACTAATATTCCCCGTAACCACTCGTGGTAAGCTTAAATTGCTAATGTTACGAGTGGTTCACGCCAGTAGTCGAATGGCGGATTCGAACCCACGACCTTTTTGAGTTCGCGGTCCGCGTCCTGCCATTAGGCTACTGTCGCTTAAAACAATGACTTAATATTCTCAATAGGACCCTCATAGTTCATGATTAAAGCGTGTTGTAGGTGTTTTTTTTAATAGTAATTTTATGTAACTAATTATTATTGTACATAATATAAATAAATAATAAAATTGATAAAATAAAATAATATTTACGGCATATTTGTCATAGTATTAGCAGGAGAGTTGGAACTGCAGTTTCTTATATTATTTTGAATTGTTACTATGAATATTATTTCGCCCATCTCCCACACGGGATAAGATAGGATAGAGTTTCTGTTGCGTCGCGCCACCACTACACGGCAATTTTAAATCAATACCTTATAGGCCTTTTCTTTCTTTTTTTTATGCGATGGGATGACAAACGAGCACACAGTCCACCTGATGGTAAGTGGTAGCTGCGGCCCATAGACATCTACATCTATCGTCGATTACGAATCAAAATGCAGATGCGTCGTCATCCGTGAGGACTTAGATGGAATGCCTCGTTTCCAGTAAAAAGGGTCTCCGGGTCTCTACACTCACCATACGAAACACAGTAGCATTAAGCTACTGGTATTCTGTGAGAGCGTGGTGCTTCCCCGATAGAGCCGACCCATTCGTGCTACAACTAAACTACTAATATAACTGCAGCATGGCTCTACCACGTAACAAAACACGTAACGTCTTAGCGGGTATGGATTAACATTTTCATATTTATGATAAATAATATAAATATAGTTCATTTTACATGGTAAATCCATGCCTCTGCTGTCTTAGGGCTGCATAGTACCAGTGTAAAATAGTAACATACTGCTGCTGTGTTTCGTATGGTGAATGTAGAGAACTGGAATGTAGAGACTGTGTTGTTTATATTCGGCCTCCCAATAAATGAAGTGACGACGTAGTAAGAGATGCAGGAAGTCGATGGATGAATTTGGCTTAGTGGCATTCTTTCTCATCATCTTATTCATTTGGATTTGAGGCCGGCCTATGATGGGCTGTAATGATGATAATGATTTTCACAAGTGCGTGGTGAAAAAATATTTTTAGGACACACATTCTGTCAGCTCGTTTTGAGGTACCTAGTGCGGCGTGCTCTTACCAGCCCTGACACCTCAAAAACGAGAGGAAGAGAGAAAGAAACAATTTAGGACTTATTTAGACTGTGAATATACTTTCTTAGTAAAAAAATATTTGAACTCAATGTTCTAAATACATTTCAGGTGTTTAAGTCAAAAGAGGAGGGAATAACGGCTAAAGAGTGCCCTTACCCATGGTTTACTTTCGTCAGCCCAAATTTGTTCGACAGTTTCGACGATTTCAGCGTTAAACATACCAAGGATCTTGCAAACAAAACTGCCATTGGGTTGGAACTAATAGTTCTACTTGCCCAACCTCAGCCTTCGTGGCCTTTGTTGGTGAAGGTAATACGACGCTTTTTTGATAAAATCATGGAATATTTTCATTTTGTATTGAAGAAAAGGAGACGAATGAAAAAGCAGTTTACCTGATAGCAAATGGATACTGGACACTACATCCATCAACATCCCCTAAAAGTCCACAGCTGGATATGGGCCTGTCCCGTTCTTCCTACAGGTAGGAAAATCCTCACTGCATTAATCGCCACGAATGACTGGTGGATTGTCGATCGAAGTACCAAATGGTACCTTCGACGCTACTCGCCGTCGCTGGTACTCAGACTGCCATAAAACGGCAAAAGCTGAAGGTTATGATTTCTTTAAAAAAAAAAACGTTACCCCAGATTTTTTATCGTGGAGGCAGTTTACATACATAAATTTCACAAGGACTGACATCCAGCCCCGAAAGAATAACTTTTAGACCATACAAATACTTGTTCCGTGCGGAGTTCGAACCCGCGACCCTTATTGTCGTAACTCATTGCTAAGCCACTGCGCCAAGGAGCCGTCAAACTTTTTTTTTTATTATAGACTGTTTTGTTTACCTTTAGATAATTAATTTTAATTTAATTTAAGTATAGTTATTTCATTTTTCTTCATCATCTACTTCTAAAATTCCACCGCTTGACACGAGGCTCTCCCATCGGAGCACCATTGACGCCGCTGCCCTTCGCCGGTACCGGTATATACTTACGCCTGACGTAAACGAGTTGGTTGTATCCGCCATCTATCGGAAACCATAAGAACCTCTGGACATATCTTAAGCGGGGTTTAGATTAGCAAGGACTTCTGCCAAGTTATTCCGCAAGTACTTGCAGAACCGTTTACACTACCAGCAATATTACTATCGCAATTTGCTTCTGCAAGCGGCCTGCAAAATAACTTGTGGAAGTACTAAGATTAGAAGAAAAGGAAGTGTAAGAGTTTATACTAGTACAAGCAATATTTTTTGCATGCAAGTCAGAGGATCCAAATTCAGAGAGTTGAAATCAATCATCATGCCAAGCTGTAGAAAAATACGTGCTGTTGCTATCTTATTAAGAAGTAGTATTAAAAAAACGAAAAAATTGAAAGTGGGTTAAGTATTGGATATTGAGACGATATATTGTTAGTATCCACAATCATCTATTAAAGGTACTAAGATGCGAAGAATTTATGCAGTTTGGAAATTTCATCAGAATGAAATTTTTAAACTGCATAAACATTTCGTATCCCATAATTCTTTGTACTGTTCATACTTTTATATTGGCCGCACAGTATCATCCCGCGTCCAAACTTTTTACCTGACATCTTGCTCAACAGCTTTAAACTTTTATTTGCAAGCAAAATAAACCGCAAGTTACTCCCAGAAGTTGGTGTTTACATTTGCGACTTGCGGCAAGTCCTGCAAGTTACAAAACTTGCGGAAGCGAGCTTGATGTGATTATTTACACAGTAGGAAAAGCTTGCAGAAGTCAACTTCTGCAAGTTTTGTTGCTAATCTAAACCTCGCTTTATAGTCGGCTCGCCTATCCAACGGGACGATATGATGTAGTAGTACTCCGTATACATATAGTAGTACAGTGTGTGATGTAGCAGTAATATTATACCGTGTGAATAGAATTGTAATAAACTTAAGTTCCTTTTTTCGTGCTGTCCTGTCTAAGTAATATAGAAATGAGTCTTAATGACACTGAAGGTCATTATTGCATCGGAATTAAAGTCCTAGAAGAAACAACACGTCTCTTCTCATTTACCATCTTCCAACATTACATAGTATTGCTTCGGAATTAAAAAATCAACATTGCGTCGGAATTAAAAATCAGTATTGCTTCGAAATTATATTGGCACCAAATATGCTGAGTTGCTTACCTCTTTTTTCGCTATTTCGTGGTACAATTTCCATTTATTTGTTTCATATTTTACATTTTATTTAATTTTTACTTAGATAAGTTAGAATTCCTGTTTTATTACTGTATTTTAAAAGTTATTTCTGTTATTGTTTTTTATTCTTACATTCAACTTGAGTGAGTGAGTTCCTGGAAAATATTTTTTTAATTTAATTTTCTTTTCCTTTCTTCTTTCTTTTACGTCATTAGTTACCTAGGCATATTATTTTTTCAGGTCTTAATGATGCGTGACTGTCATCTTGCTAGAATATTACTACACAACGCGATTCTTAATATGTCTACTGACAACGCGCGTTGGCCAGCTGACGGACTGTGGTACAACGTTGATCAATATCAGCAAAAGTGTGGGGGCTTTTTGTGTACAGCTGATGGATTCTGTAGATTCAAAGGCACTACTGACGGTATGTTTGCAAAAGTTCTTTCGATTAAAATTATTAGTGCGCAATGGTTGCTAATTTAAATGTACGAATAAAATTATTTTTAGCACAAAGTACCCTAAGTAGTAAAACGTCAATAAATCAAAATAAATATATTAAATTCATAAATATTGTTTTTTACATTGCGTAGTGTTTGCGTAAGTTTAGGAAATCGTAAAATGTTTCACTTATCCTATTCACAAACATAAAGGTTTTAATTATATTTAGAATCGTCATTCTCACCGGTACTGATTTTGGCCGTGAAAGGAAGTCATGAATTGCCTTGTAGTCTGCGGTGAGTGGAGAAGAAGGCGAGTAATCTGCGAAAGTGCCTTGAAGCAGAATTCTGCTTCACGGCACGAGCAGTAAAGCTCAGAGCCATGCTGAATATTAACGCAGAGAGTAGCTTGAAGGAATAGGAAGCATTATTCCAGTGCTGCGATGAACCTTGTCAAGTTTGTTGATGGCTTGCAGGACCTAAAGATTTCGAACAATATCTAGCTCGGGCGCGAATAGATGGGGTTCTTAGGTCGATGACGAAAGCTTGAAGTAGAGGTTGCCGAAGGTTGCAATGTTGCGTGTTCAAATGAAGTTGGGGTCACTAATTTTCCTGTGCAAGGAGAAGGGGAGATCTCCGCATATATCGCAGTATTTCGGAATTTTGATAGCGCGATTTAGACTTCGGTGCGTTTCGCTTTTGGCGCGACAACAGCGCCCCCACACTGATGAAATTGTTAATTACACATTTTAAGCGATAAATAAGCATCAGCTGCTCGTCGACGAAACTTAATGAGGAAACTTCTATGTTTAAGGTAATTCCGATAACATATGAAGTTCTTCAACAATCACACTTATTACTCCATAACCCTCTGAGAAATGAAAAGAGGTAGCCTACCTTAAAGAGGATATCCCCAGAAGAATAAGAGTAACTGATATAGATAGACCCACAGATCGGTAACCGAAGTGGCAATGGACCGGCCATATTGCTCGTAGAACCGATAACTAACGGGGAATAAAGGTTCTCGAGTGGCAGTCTAGTACTGATAAGCAATTGTGGGTAGGTCCCTCATTAGATGAAGTGACGACCCGGGAAGAAATACTGGTGGCTCAGTACTGTACTTCGTGACAATCTATGGGGTATTATGTGTAGAGAGTAATGGACTAAAGACTGTGTATAAGTGCCCACAGCTGTTAAATGAGAGTGGCGCCACTAAGTTTTGGTCTAACTTTAGAATGTGCCGAAAAATCATTATTGGGATGCTTTTTCGGTCTAAATAAAATTTTTTAGATTTTACAGCACTGAGCAATTTGCAGCACACTCAAACCGTCCTCGAAAATGCCTAAGTTCGTTTCATCCCTGTAACTACTCCAGCGCTGTTGTGGAGAGTTTTGGAACTGTTATTTACTGCTTACAGACATACACTTTTTCACTATTCTACTATGGGAGTTGGTACTCCTTACTTCTACACTCCATACTATGGGAGATTCTGTGTTCAGTAATGGACTTATGATTGGGTGTAGTGATAGTGAATGAAGTCATAAGTTTTTGGATGCTAGATACAGTTTTCTGTTACGCACAGGGGAGCACGGCAGACGTTTTCATACCGTTAAAATTATTCAGGTATAAGTTTGCTCAGCTATGCGACATATATAGGCTATATTTTTTTTTATTTTTTAACTATTCTAAGCCTAAGATTACCTACTATCTCACCTGATGGTGGTGATGCAGTCGAAGATGGTGCAGCGCCTATGGAAAATCCTCTTCACTCTTGCCTTGAAGACACATTGTGATCGGATGGAAAGACAGATTCTGGCAACTTATTCCACTCCTTTGCTGTACGCATCCAAGAGTATATAATTACTACGTTTTAGTACGCATGACGAACGATGTAGCAAACCGTTTGTTTCGAAAGCATGGTAAGTCGACAACAAAAGAGGAGAAACTGGCCGAGCGTCTTATTGCTCAACAATGGAAGGGTGAAAGAAAAATTAAATTATGCAACTCCTGCGCACACTGTGAAATGCGTCCTGTAGAAAACCGAAAGGCTGGCTGCTTTGCGCCTGTGTTCGGGACTGATGAGATTGGTTTTAACCAGTATCGGATCACCAAATAAGCCTCTTAGCACGCCTTTTTGATTGAGTCCAAAGCTGCTAAGTGGCATTTTGCAGCATTAGCTCAAATATATAACAGCTATACTCTATGTAATCGCCTTTATCTACTATAAACGTTGTTTCTCCATTTTTATAGGTAATTGACCATTTGCATATAAGCAATTGTACATGTTTCAGCTGGGGAACAGTACGCCCGATGTGCCGGAGCATTAGCTAACGTTCTAGCTACCATTGGCAGTAAAGCAGAGCTAAAATCTACATTATGTTATGCTCTGGAAATTTCTGGAAGGGACTGGGCGTCTTGTTTGGATAAACGTCAAGTAGGTATTTAAAATACGACTTAACGTTAAAGATGCGGGTGTAAGTGGTTCTCAATGCAACGCGTACATTTTTGTATGTATGTTACGCGTTATCTTTGCCAACTGTGACCCAGTTCTAATTATTATTTTTTATTAAATAGGCCATCCCTTAAGATCATGAGGTTTTTAATGTTTAATGTTAAAATTTATTGGTTTGACGACCTTCTCCTTGATGTTTTTGCATCGACTTAGGAAACTAATATGTGGAATTTTTTTACCGTCATCAAAATGGAAGGAGGTATTCAATTCGACTGTATGTTTTTTTGTGTGTGTGTTACCTCATAAATTTTTCTCTGTGATTTTGGTGATTCTTTTATTATCTGAGAACTGGTGCTTCTCGTGTGGTCCCATATAAATTTAATCAAGATCTGGCCAGTAGGTTTTGATTATCTTTTATAATGCGTATTTAATTGACTTCGAATGCAATGATGATGTTCTCATTTTAATTATATTGAATTTGGTTCTACAAAATTTTTAATTTTACCAATTTAGTTCTTTAGAGGCGGTTTTACTTACTAAATGGTTAATTTTTAAAAGTAACTTTTCTTTTATCATCTGTCATCACACCAAACTGTCTTCAACTTTAGTCTCAGAATAAGGGACTTTTCTTTTATCATTTCTTATCAACCAAACTACTTCAACTTGTGTCTCAAAATAATTCCATCCATAGCCATAAAAGTTTACTAATTTGGGAGTCATCACACCAAACGACTTCAACTTTTTCTTAAAATATAGCCTATAAACAGTCCACTGTTTGACATGGATCTCTTTTATATTAGGGAGGCTTTACATTAATCACGGTTGGCCGGCGGTTTGGCGTTGGCTACTCCAGGCGTCTCGCACCTAGATGCTGCTTTCTGTCACCGACCTTAGTGTTTCACATCTAATGTAGGTACTATATATCTACAAGACTACCTCGTTGGTCACGTGGTCGTAAGCGTGACTGAAGATAAAGTGGCCTCGGGTTCGAATCGTCTGTGTGTGTGTCAAAAATCATTGGAGCTTTCTGTCAAGAAATTCTTATTAGCCCGGCGTCAGCACGTAAAGCGTCCTGCGCCTGTCTTCATACCGGTCATGTCAATATTATGGTTGTGACACTAATGGGTGGGCTCGACTGGAGAAGGACCACGCTCTCACCGGGATAACAGCGTGTAATAGCAGCATAATGCTAATCTGATAATGCTTAATGTAGAGAACTGAATAACCTTTCTACTCGAAACGTGGCATTCCATCTTACTCTTCAGGGGTGATATTGCTTCTGCATTTTGATTCGTAATCGATGATAGATATAGATGTCTATGGGCTACAGCATGCATTTACCATCAGGGATGTGCTCCTTTGTCATCCTAACTATTAAAAAAATATTTTATGCACTATAAGACTATAACCCTGCACTGTGCAGAAGGCTAGTCTCTATCACAAGCTACAACAGCTCTATTCTTAATATGTAATGATCATATATTTTCACGTATTTCAGGTTTGGTGCGATCGTCGCCCGCCGTGGCTGGCTGGGATTTTAGCTATGGTCGGCACAGCGCTACAATTCATACCACCGATATTAGTTAATACAGTGCAAAGTGGAGCGTCGATGTACCAGGTATCACATTTTGCGTTGAAATAATACTAGTTTTTACGGAATTTATCGCGTATATTTAACTTTATAAATACCCGACGTTTCGGACGCTTTACAGCACTCAGCTTTATTAACTTTTGTTCCGATCTATGCAGTTTTAAAAGTTAAATTTTAATCTATGGTAACCGCGGTTAACTATGACATATGGACGTTGAACATCTCAGTCCCGCCCGTGACCATGAGTGCTGTAAAGCGTTCGAAACGTCGGGTATTTAAAAATTTAAATATACGCGATAAATTCCGTAAAAACTAGTATTATTTCAATGTGTAGTGTTCGCGTAAATATAAGAAATCATTACATTTTGCGTTAATAAAATATACTTACGGAAATACTGTAGTTCTCTGGTTTTTACTAACTGGAGTTAAAAGGTTCTCGAGTGGCAGCCTCGTACCGGTAGGCGAAGTGTAGGGCGACCCCCCCACTAGATGGAGTGACGACCTGGCAAAACATGCAGGAAGTCGATGGATGCAGGTGGCTCAGGACTGTGCTTTGTGGCATTCCTTGGGGGAGACCTAATATATTCAGCAGTGAACTTGTGAAGACCTGTAATGCTGATGATGATGAAACACTAGAGTACGCTAAATGCGTACGTATGACGTATACGGCACGTTAGCGTTGTTGTCACAGTTATGATAGAAAAATGGCTAACTGCGTTGCCACGCGATGCAAAAGGAAAATTGGAGTGACTAACGAATTTACAGGCCACCTGATGGTAAGTGGCTCTCACATTCCACAGAAACCTCTTTCTCTATCTCTTATAATAAAAAACGATATGGTAAAAAATATTATCTTCACACTAGCATTTTCTCTTGTATCGTGAATAAAGTTTATATACTTGTTCCGTACGGGATTCGAACCCGCAATGAAGGTTACAGATGCGTTGCCACCTTTGGGGGATTAAGATGGAATGCCTCACAGCCTGTGATTATACTGGATCTATACAGCCTTCAGACAGTAAAGCAACCACTGCTATTTAGCGGCAAGAATAGGTAAGAAGCGAAATATCACTGACTGACTCATAATGAGATATCTATAACTATACACCTGATAGACTTAAAATTTAGTATAGTTACTCTTTTCACAATCTCGACGCCCACTAAGAAAGGATTTAACCATAGAATACTATAATACGTAATACAATGTCTGTCAACCTTATTTTGTATGAAGATCGGTATCGCCGGGAGCACACATACAAGCAATTATGTCGTATTATCACTACTACAAACGCGATCCGCTCTATTGACAGACTGAATGAATTTACACATTTTAGACTTATTTGACTATTCTTATATATATTTCTTTATTATTGTTTCCAAAATTTACAAAATGTAAACAGTTTCGACTTACTGGTTGTAAGATATGTCTCCTTTATTTGAATTCGATTTACCGCTATTCTTTCGACACGTAATAATTGCACAATTTGCCATTTTTTAAATAATTTGCATGCAGCGACGCTTGACACGAAAATTGGAAACGATTGATTGTGTTGATATTTATACGTGTGAACTGACATGTTAGTGACATGTTAGTGGCTGCACTGGCTCCGCCAACTCCCCCGTTCTGTTACGTATGTATTACAGTATTCTATGGATATAACGATAGTTCCGTAAAAATAAATTTCTTGATATTTTGCAACTAGGTTTCGCTATAAAATATTATTGTGCGCCCAGTAAAGCGAGCAGGTATCACTTAGTATAATATAAATAACCACAATTACTACTTACTTACACGTCGAGCGGAAGTGTTGTGTATTTGTTGTGTTCCGGCCTTGATACGTGATGTATTTTCTCGAAAGTTACTCCTCCTTTACTGAATGATAAGAAAAGAATTTTTAATGGAAAACCTATCCAAATATTACGAACCCAAATTTCATAAATTCACCATTAACGTTGCTAAGGTATCGACTGTGTTATCACCAAACCGTTTATTTAGCGTGGTGACTATTGGAAAATCTAGCAATTTAGCTTTTGAAATGTTAGAAATGCCTCTATCGGAGGCTATGAGGTCCTTTTCGCTATATACCACACTACGGTCGCCCCTATGATACCGCCACTGATAGTTTGTATGAATTAACTTATGCTGCCACAACACTTCTTAATTACCACTGGTAGCCTGTCGACCTTTTCGCGGCAGAATCGAGTTCTAAATAAATCTGATTTTATTTACAATCAAATGGTGGTTCAAATTTAAATTATCAGAACGAAAATCTTCAGCTAGCGACGACAATACTTGTTCTTGATAATTTCTTAATTCTTAATTCCTATAAGTGCTTCATTGTAACTATCGTATTTTTTGATTCGAATTGGTTCGAGAGTAAGCTTTTAAAATCAGATTCGAAATAACATCAGTTTGGATTGAATTTGAATTTAATTTTGAGAGTAAGCCTTCTAGGTTCATATGTATTGTAACGAACGAATTACCAAAATTGACACTTTAATTACTGAACACCAATTAAAACTTAAATCACACTAATAATTATTCACACTTAACACTTTAGTTCACTTTATTTTACTCCGAAAGCTTCGCTCGTATCGCCAATTCAATACTGCCCCGGTTGCGGCCCTCAATAGCTTTATATAGGCCTTTTCCACCGAAACATCCAGAATATTTCAGAAAAAACCGGCCCCCGACAGATCAGGTGCAGAAAGTTCGAGTGTAGAGTTATCTAGAAAGCTTGGTTCCTCTGTTCGATAATAGATGGCGCTAGTGCCATCCACTGTGGCGCGCAACACTATCACTATTGAAATTAAATATGTTTACATTTTCGATCAAGCCATTTTTAAGCCTACTACCTGTAAGCCTAATTAGTTTAATGTACGACTGATTAATATTATTCTATATATCCTAGAACTATTATACCTCTAAATCTAATATAAAGATGCTATATTGATTGTAATAAGTAGCAACAGGTAGGCAGATGTTAAAGTGTAAACAGTTTTGATTTATAATGAAATATATTACATTGTTAATCTAAATGATAATAATTAAATGTATTATTAATTATCAACTAATTGTGGGTGAATAATCGTTTGTTAATAACTATTATATTAATTTAAGATAGTGTATTGAGAATCGAAGTAAATGTCATATCGGACAGTCGTTGCGATAGGCAATCATCGCGTGGCTGTTGTACAAGAAACAGGTGAGTTTTGTGATTAAAGTGCTGTGGAGATATTACTGGATTTTATTTTCTGGAACACTTCTGAGGCTATCCCAATATCTCAGAAGTGGGATAAAGTTCTTCTTATCGCCCACATATAATCTTCGAATAGTGTAAGTATTGTTACGTTTCTGAAAGACTATGATACGCTGTTACCTGATAACTTTGATTTTTTTTATGTTACATAACGTAATGAAAGTTGCTGTTCCTATTAACGACATTGACTTATCATTAAAATATAGATCAAAGTTTAAAGTGAAATGTTTTAAGCCAAACTTTAAATCTTTTGGTTTGATTTATATCAAAAGTACCCGCAAGTACTTTCTTAATTTTTTTTAATTAACCCAAATATGTTTCAATTTAACCATAAAGTACAGTGGAAATTTAAGTTGCTCGAGTAATGTCATTATTTGATAGTTCATGCGAAATATGATTTACTTTGGGTACATTTTAAAGTACGAAATGTTAAGCGATGTACCAAAAAAAAAAATGTCAAACTTTAATGTGCTATCGATTAAAAGAGTAAGTAGCTATTTGTGTTCTAATGTGCTGATAAGTGTTACAGTTTACCGGTTTACGGGATTAGCAGAAGCCGCTACTACGATGATCAATAAAAAAGATGTCCATAAGAGCCAGTCGACAGCGATAGTGATACGTTATCGATCCTACAATACTGTTACTGCTAACTCCAATACTCTCACCCTCAAAGGTAATGTGTCAAATATGAGCGTGTTCCGAGTTCAGGCGAATGCGTGTAAGTAAATTTCTTATCTCCCTGTATTATAGTTATTCGTATGCAATCACATTTCTTCGGCTAAAAACACCTATCAACTCGGTGATTATGACATTCAAATGAAAGTCACTAGCCTTTTGAAGGGACGTGCTAAAATGTTGGCCGGTAACCGGCTGGTGATGAATTCTACGTGGGAAGATTTGCGTCAAAACATCACCACCACCTCCGAACCTGAAAGCCGTTACACGCGTGACATATTGAGATTTAGAGAGCACATTTACGACTCTTCTAAGGATATCGCAGAGTTCTTATCTTGGGCATGATTTCTATGAAGACGCTTGACGAAAGACAAACTTGAAAACAGTGATGCTGTAGAGGCCGTTATCGGAGCCGTGGGTGACGAACGCCTTAGAATTGAGTTAATAAATATTAGGGTCACCTAGATGCCAGAATTGATATTCGTTGCCTCATCCATTCGTATTAAGCATCCCATTACATTCCATAAATAATTCAAATCTACCGCCAAAAAAAAAAAAGTTTTAAATATCCTTTTGATAACAGAAGTTCTTCTTGTAGTATTTGCGAAAAGATCGGCCATACTTCTGATAATTGCCGTACTAAAAGTAATTCTAACGTCCTTCCATTCGATAAAAATCGGTCGACGCCTTTAGCTACAACTAGTGATAGTAAATTTTGTTCATTTTTGTTCAAAGCCTGGTCACACATTCGAGTTGTTTTTTTTTTCTCGCCTCGAAAAACTAATAACTTCTAATATAAATTAATTGAGTGATAGTACCCGCAGTTCTATCTTAAACATCGTGCGTGTTCGAGTAGGTAATTTGCTTATAAATACTGTTTTCGATAGCGGCACCAAGTGTTCCGTTATGCGTGAATCCGTTGCGAATTAATTTCCAGGCCATTAGTTATGAACCATTTATGTAGGATTGGTCCGTTCCCTGTTATATCTACCAGCACATTAACAGCTATTATGCGTGGTTAATAATATTCCTATAGAGATTTTGTTTCACGTACTACCCGACTTTGAAATAACTTCAGACGTTTTAATTGGTGCGAACTTACTACATGAAACCGGTCTAAGTGTAATTATTACCCGAAATAGTGCTACTCCAATCTCTTAAACCTCGTGTCACGCATATACGATCACATAGTCCTATTTTAGAAAATTTTTATCCCGATTTAATTGATGAATTTGAGATAAATCAACTACTTGCTCTTCTTAATAAGTACTCTTTCGTCTTTACTCAAGGTTACGCTAAATCTCGCGTTAACACTGACGAATTAGAAATGCTTCTAAAAAAAAAACCGATGAATACATAGAACGATAGGTAATACTCTTCTTATACTTCTCACCCGACGATCGAACTGTGTATCTCCCGAGTTACATAATTTTGTAATTTTTTATACCACATCCATTAATTACGATGCATTGCAATATCATGTGCAACAAAGGATGACCGAGGCGTCGGCGAAAGACAAACTCTGGTTTGACAAAGAACGGGTTAAGATACACGACACGTCACGGATAAGATACGCACACAAACGAGCATCCGGCATTGTTAATACGCTGGTGACAGCACCAGCACCAGCCCAACCTGCGTAAAAACTAGCTAGTGCTAGTTCAGGGTTTCGTCAGTAATCGTCGATTAGACATATAGGAAAATATGGATTCCATCCCGGTGAGAAACTTTCATGTTATATTCTTACTTAACAATCACATTATAGCGACACAGCTTTCCCCTTCGAAAGCCTAAGCAAGACTGATGGAGATTGATCGAGTGGCAGGAAATAAGCTTCAAGACGCCGATAGTTCAGGTAATTCCTTTTTACAGTGAAAATAATAGTAATTTAAAAAAGAAAAAAAAAACATAAGCCCTGCCTTATAGTTTGTTCAGTTAGTATGCAAAGTTTCATTATCTAATTTAAAGTATTTTATGAATACCAGCGTTTTTTTTTTTTGTTCTGTTTGGAGGTAACTTTGGATCTTTTTTTTTTCTATGGAGAAAATTTTACGGAATGGTGTTTTCGTCTAACGTAGTACTTAACATTAATCCTTCACTTTACTACATATTTATTTCAAAATTAATTTTGCAATATTTTCCGCATAACGGAGGATCTTGCTATGCCATTTAAGGTAGTATTTTTATTATTTCGCCTTAATACAACAGAAACCACATTTTTTTGGACCACAAGTTTAGTGTGCCCTACAATATTCATAGAGTACTCTATAACGACCGATACCTCCTGAAGAAAGTTGTCAGTCACCATTGTCGGCCCTGTAAAGTCCCGCATGAGCAGTTACGACGTGCCCCACAACCAGGTGCCCAAACCAGCAGGCAGGCGTGTCGCCGAGGGACGAGCCTGTCAACGAGCTAATAAGTGATGGTGGATCCCATGATTCGCTTTCCCTAAATGATTTACAGCCTCAAAACTTGCAAAATGACGACTGTAATCTGGTAGAGAACGCTGCTGGACCTTCAGTCAGGATAGATGCTACAAATTAAATGGTGAGCAGTTTCCAATTTATTCTAAGCTACTATCTATTATCATTACTGTATCCATTAATTACATAGCTATTAAACTAAACAATTTTACTTAAATCACATTAAAAAGCCGTGGAGGCAAACATAAACATTAAGTTATTCTCTAAAAAAAAAAAGGAAAATAACCACAAGCCGTGGAGGCGACAATTTATACTCTCATGTTATCCTGCTGGGACACGGCGTCCATGACCGCTCAGTACCCAGTTCCCTTTTTTTCCCGTCAAATAAAGAGACTTCGTGCCTGTCACGGAACAATGGTCTTAAGCTCCTTACCTTACTTTCCATCAGATCAAAGACTTTGCGTCTATCACAGAGCGGTGTTCCTAATCCTACTTCCTCTATTCAAAGCAAGTAATACAAATATTTTGGAAAGCATTATTTATCGTTGCTCGCGATTGGTAAGGGTACTGGGGTCGATTGTTGCAATCGAAGAGAGTAAATGTGTTCTCTTTTTTTTTTCCTCTCTTTTTCTCCCTGTGTCTGAAATGATTGCGTATTTCGAGATGAACATTGTGTGGTGTGCTACGGTGGTAGTAGCAGTACTATGTGAGAAAGACCAAGCCTGATCAGGAGTGATTCAGTTACTATTACCGAAAAATATTAAAGAAATATAAGTACACATAGCTGCATAAACTTAACCTATGTTAATGATGTTAAAAATAATGGTTTACTAAGCTATCGTCTGTCAGTTTCAGTGCTCGACATGGAGAGAGAAAAGAGTCAAACCCGAGATTATAGGACTCTTAGTCCGGGCCCAGGAGTACCCAGGTTTGAGGGTCAGAGTCGGGAAGCGGTAGATTCGAGGCGTGAGTCTAGCCACGCAACTTGGCCAAGAGTACCCATGTATGAGGGTCTAGCTAAGAGGACATGTTCGGAACAACCAGGGGTATCACGGGTGCGTGATACTGAGGTTGATAATAATTATGACAATATTGACGGAGAGCGTCAAGGACGAAGGGTGCTTCGTCCACAAAGGGCATGTTTGGAACAACCAGGGGTGTCACGGGTGCGTGATACTGAGGTTGATAATAATTATGACAATATTGACGGAGAGCGTCAAGGACGAAGGGTGCTTCGTCCACAAAGGGCATGTTTGGAACAACCAGGGGTGTCACGGGTGCGTGATACTGAGGTTGATAATAATTATGACAATATTGACGGATAGCGTCAAGGACGAAGGGTGCTTCATCCACAAAGGGTTAAGGAGAGAGTTCTTCGCACACCTTCGAGGTCAAAATGCAGCCCTGGTTAAATTTTAATAGAAACTTGGAAAGTAGTTGTGAAGAAAGTGGTTCAGATAATGAGTAAAAATAAATTTATAAATAAAAACTAAATAAAAATTATGCTCTTGCTCGTTAAAGTGTTTATTTATATTAATCTAATATAAATAAATTACTATTAAATCTAATGTACTATGATTAAATAACATTATTTAGATTATATTGATATTAGTGTCTCGTGTAATTATAGGCCTCAATCATCACTTGTACTTGTTTCGTGTCTAGATCCGTATAGATGTTTATGTCAGAACATTATACATTAATAATGTTTTAGTATCAGTCTGTAGCGCTTACAAGCTACAGGTTCTGTTTGATTTGTATTCTATTACCATGACAATAATTATTTCATTGCTAATTTTTGATCGAAGGTTTATCCCGATTAGTAACGTCATTTTTTTCGCGAAGGGACTCGCTTTCACAGGAAGGCCGAGCTGTAAGCCTAATTAGTTTAATGTACGACTGATTAATATTATTCTATATATCCTAGAACTATTATACCTCTAAATCTAATATAAAGATGCTATATTGATTGTAATAAGTAGCAACAGGTAGGCAGATGTTAAAGTGTAAACAGTTTTGATTTATAATGAAATATATTACATTGTTAATCTAAATGATAATAATTAAATGTATTATTAATTATCAACTAATTGTGGGTGAATAATCGTTTGTTAATAACTATTATATTAATTTAAGATAGTGTATTGAGAATCGAAGTAAATGTCATATCGGACAGTCGTTGCGATAGGCAATCATCGCGTGGCTGTTGTACAAGAAACAGGTGAATTTTGTGATTAAAGTGCTGTGGAGATATTACTGGATTTTATTTTCTGGAACACTTCTGAGGCTATCCCAATATCCCGGAGAATGAAACTGCGCACGTATAATTTTTTTTACTAATTGATGGAATATTTCAGACAATGTCCCTTTGCCTGAGTTGCATTTCAAGATCGCTGGACTGCATACCGCAGTGCTTCCTTAACGCGGCGTCGATTATTGAGAACACTATACCGTCTAACGTGAACCCAGTCGGTGGATCGATTTTGCTGCAGATGCTTATTACAATTACTTACGAGGAATTGCAGAAGTGGGCGAAGAAGGAAGCTGTTAAGGAAAAGTCTGGTAACTTGTTCTTCTTTGTTTTTCTTAGTTCTTAAATTACAAGCTACATTTTGGATTAATGTTTAAAGCAATTGTTGTTAAAATACAATAAAGTATATGGAACATAATGCACAAACATTGCAGATTCCACCTAGTTTCGTTTTTGAGATAGAGCCCGTAATAAAAACGGTATAAAACTTTGAGAAACATCCATTTCTTTACTTTCAAAGATTTTAGAGATTAAATATTTCTTATTCTTATTATCTTTATTTTAGAATTATTAATATTTTCATATTTTAAAATTAATAATTTAGTATTTGAGGTATTCAATTCGACTGTATTTTTTATGTGTTACCTCAGAACTTCCTTTTGGGCGAACCGATTTTGATGATTCTTATTTTATTTGAACTCGTGTCGTCCCATATAAATTTGATTAAGATATGACCAGTAGTTTTTGATACATATTTAATTGACTTCGAATATATTGATGATGTTCTCATTTTATTTATGTTGAAGTCGGTTGTACAAACTATTCAATTTTACCACTTGTATTCATTCTAGATTACATGTATTTCTTATTGGCCATTTACTACTTTTACCAATGGTTGAGAAAAAACCTCTGTCCTGGGAAGAACCAGTAAGAAACCCACTTTTTTTAAATAAAATTAATTTACAATAAAAAAATTATTTACCTAATATTATATTATGTTATTTGTACATACTATATCATTTATATTCATTATGTGAGTTGTTATTGTCTGACGCTCTACATAATGGGAGAAAGAAAACAAATTTTCCAGTTCCTTTTTCACGTGTGGAAATCACTTGATGGCGCTCGTAAAATTTCATTTTAACAGTTTAAATACCACAGATGTTTGCATATCTATTTTTAGTTTAAATGCAAAAAAGGTTGAAGTTACGAGTATCAATTCAACTATATGTTCTTTTTTAACGTATGTAATTCCTGCTTAGTTTAGGTAACCTGATTTTTTATTTTCCGATATAATGTACCTACTTTTACGTGGTGTCGTATAAAAATGATAAACCGATAATTTAACATTATTTTAATAAATACAAATATATGTAATTTCACGGCATATAAATAGTATTTCACTTTATTGTCCTCAATGACATTAAGAAAACTTATATTTTCAGTTGCAAATGGCGAAGCACATAACTTGAACACCAAACATAGTAGACCGAAAATGAAGCAAGTCAGGATTCGGAGTATCGCTAATGCAAGTAAGATTATTGCATACTATTTACTGCTATTAACTGATGGCGAAGAAAGATTTTCGAGTAGCAGCCTCGTAACGGTAAACGAAGTCTAGGGAGGCCCCTTACTTGATGGAGTGACGGAGTTGGTTTTAGTACCCTGCGGATTTCGTTGTTAAATCGAAATTTCCATCTATTTTTCCAATATCCCAACGGATAGGTCTTAAGATGAACATAGACAAAACAAAGATCATGTTTAATGTCTTTGTCACACCTATGCCCGTAGTTGTTGGGAGCACTAAGCTCGAAGTTGTTGACGAGTACATTTACCTGGGACAAATAGTCCAACTAGGTAAGTCCAACTTCGACCGAGAGGTCAATCGACCGACCACTCGGCTGGGCAGCGTTCGGGAAATTACGACACATCTTCTCGTCAGGTATACCTCAAAACCTGAAAACTAAAGTGTGTTGCCAGTGACCTACGGAACCGAGACGTGGTCCTTCACTGCTGGCCGTATGAGGACGCTCAAAGACGACACGACCGACATAGCCCAAAGGATTAGTAAGCTGAAGTGGCAATGGGCCGGCCATATAGCTCGAAGAACCGACAACCGTTGGGGAAAAAAGGTTCTCAAGTGGCAGCCTCGTACCGGTAGGCGAAGTGTGGGGCAATCCCCCACTAGATGGAGTGATGACCTGGTAAGATATGCAGGAAGTCGATGGATGCAGGTGGCTCAGGACCGTGCTTTGTGGCGTACCTTGGGAGAGGCCTATGTTCAGCAGTGAACTTGTGAAAGGCTACAATGATTATGATGATGATGAACCGTACTTAATTTTTTTGAATACATATAAATCTTGCTCAAACTACAGGTGTACATACGTACAAACATACGTGGTAGAGCCACGCTACAACTATATTATAGTTGTAGCACGAATGGGTCGGCTCAACCGGGGAAGGACCACGCTCTCACGGAATACCAGGGTAAAATAGCAGCTTAATATTGCTGTGTTTGGTATGGTGAGTGTAGAGATCCGGAGACCCTTTTTTACTTGAAACGAGGCATTCCATCTTAGTCCTCAGGGGTAACAACGCATTTGCGTTTTGATTCGTAATCGAGGAAAAATGTAGATGTCTATGAGCTACAACATCCGCTTACATTACATGACATTTTTAAATCAAGGTCACTGTTCAAGTCGTTTTGTCAGTGCCTTTTATAGTTTCCATTAGTCGAATTTTCATTAATTAATTACATTATTAAATTTTTAGACATGTCCAGCTCTGTGAGTTTTGACGGTGCGTACAGTTCTCCGTCGTCGATAGCGCTCGCTATAGCCGAGGCGCTTTGCTCTATAGATGAAGACGATAAGCACACGCAAGAGATACAAACCCTAGTGGCCCAGTCCAAAGCATCCTTCGAACTGTCCAATGAGTTCGGATTGCAAGACTTTCCGGAGTTCGCGGAGTTTTTTGAGGAGGTACTTTTGGAATTATTACTTACAATTTTTTCTGCTGGTAAATTTGATTTCAATGTTGCTTGTCGTATGGTGGTGACCAGAGAATCGATCACAATGTCAGTAAAAAGAAATTGCGCTTGTCAGCCCCGGCCAGTGACTGGAGTGTGTTGTCTTGAAAATCGATTGTGTTATAGTCAACCAAATCTAAGAAATACCTTTCGACGTTTCACATTAATCATTCAGCAATAACTTTGCACAAACGTACTCATACGATTTAAAATAACCTTTTACGTAAATCCGAAGAATTATAAAGTTATCTAGATTTCTTTACAATGTGTATAGTTTTTTATCATTAATTTTTTTGATATATTATTTGTTTGCTTCTGTACAATCGAAAGCAGGTACCTCAACAGTAAAATTGGCACCTATACAGCTGAATACCCATCAAGCTTTTATAAGGCTTGTGTACCCAAGTGCAAATCGTTCTGCTACAAACGACTACAAATCTCTACAACTCCCGCAATTCAATGAAGATTCTGACCTTAAGAAATGAACCTCAAAGTAATGACTACTGACATGTCAATTACTGACTGACTATTAACTACTACTACATACTGACTGGAAATACTGACATGGACATTTTACTGACTATGTTGTTGACTATGTTGTTATCGACGAATACTTTGTTATTAAACAAATGAGCAACAAGTTTTTCTAGAACATTTATCCTTGAATTTAATTAATTATATAATTTTTTATAAATACTTTGTTCTTTAATATGAGTTACTAAGTCTAATGTATTTTCAATTTCCATAGCAATAATTTTAATGTAGGCAATTAAAAACTACAAACAATATTATCACTAAATGTGCTATTAGTGTGGGTATGAGAGTTAAAAAGATAATATAGGCAACGAAAATGTTTATGAGGAAAATGATAACAAAAATATACAGATTAAACCTTTATTGTGTATTATTTATCAAATCACGTTCCCAATTCTCAAATTTATAACTAGACTTACTTAAGATATTGAATCTTAACAGTAAATAAAACATTGACAGTGGATGAGGCTTCTTAGTAAAATATTTTAAAAATGGAGCCTGCTTCCAGAAATACTTCCATACTCTTCTCCTGAAGGTGACACCATCTGGAATCACATCTCTGTTAGTCAGTACTATTATTGGAGTTCTCAATATATATGCGTCACCTTCATATTTTATGCGAACGGAGCAAGTGTCGCCTCCAAATAATAATTTTAATATTTCTTCAGATCCGGGTTCAAAGTTTGGCTCGTTCCATAGTATACGACGTTGCAACGCATCTTGTAATGGAAAAATACACGAATGTATTAAACTGTAATACTGGTAAAACTGTACTGGCGGAAAGTAATTTTTCCAGAGCATGACGGTCCTACGACGCATATACAATTTTTTTAGGAACTTTCTTATCCACTAAATAATATTTTTGAGGAAATTATATATGTAAAATGCATCTTTGTCGAATTAATGATTCAATAATTCTGTTAGGACTCGTATTGAATCGAAAATATCGTAATAGTATTCAGATGCGGCGTTCCACGGGGCAACATATATTAATTTATTCATCGATATAACTCTTGTTTTTAAAAATAATTCTCTATAACTCATAGCCGTGTAGTGGCGGTTGAGAATATCCACTACCCCATATCTTCCCGTGGGTGTCGTAAGAGGCGACAGAGGGACACGGACAGGAGATGGGCAGCAGCATCTTCCTGATAACAACTGTGTTATAATAAAAAACTGCGGTTGCCAACCCGCTCGCCAAGCGTGACAACTATGGCAAATACCCCCCCCCCCATGAATAACGACGCAAACAAACGGCCCCCAGTCCCCGGCGGCCCCGCTATTCCTGGCTACGGTGGCGACCATGGTAACGGCGGGGCAGGGGTTGCTAAATTTCTCCGATGGAGGTTCGGTTGCCACCTACAACGACTCGACCTGGCAACGTATAACGCACGCACCCTGAGGACTGACGAGAAGATACTGGAGCTGGAAGAAGAGGTAGACAGGTTGCGCTGGCATATTATTGGATTATCCGAGGTCCGAAGAGAGGGGAAGGATACGGCAATCCTCGAGTCCGGCAACTTGTTCTATCACCGGGAGGGCGACCATCTGTCCCAAGGAGGTGTCGGATTTATCGTCCACAAGTCTCTCGTCAGCAACGTTGTAAAGATTGGGAGTGTGTCGACGAGGGTCCCGTACCTGATACTCAGAATCACCAAACGGTATTCGCTGAAGGTCATACAGGTCTACGCACCAATCTCGGCACATCCCGATGAGGAGGTGGAGGAAATGTGTGAGGATATTTCCAGAGCCATGCATTCCTCCAAAAACCAATATACGGTGTTGATGGGAGACTTCAACGCAAAACTAGGCACAAGAAAAAGCGGTGAGCTGTAGGTAGGGAAATTTGGAGTAGGCAACGGAACCGAAGGGGCCAGCAGCTGGCCGACTTTATGGAGAAAGAGGGACTCTTTATGATGAACTCTTTTCTTTCAGAAGCGGCCCCACAGGAAGTGGACCTGGTCGAGCCCCGACGGTTCGACAAAAAATGAGATTGACTTCATTATGACGACCAGACGCCAACTGTTCAGTGATTCCGTGTCGCAAGGGTGAAAACTGGCAGCGATCACCGAATGGTTAGAGGCACACTGAACCTAAACGTTAAGTTGGAGAGGTCTCGTCTAATGAAGTCAACGCTCCGTCCCCTCGTGCTCTAATCCAGAATCCCGAAACCTTTCAGCTCGAGTTACATAACCGCTTTCAGTGCCTAGAAGATTGCAATGCAGTGGACGATATGAATGACAAGCTCGTGGAAACTGTCCATGCGGTCGGAGCTAAGTTCTGCAAGACCCGCCGCAGAAGAACACAAAAACTCTCCGATCACACTTACGTAACTTTAATACTGCTCGTATTAAAGAAGCGATCGAGCGGAACCAGGGCTCCAAAGTCTTTGCCAGAGATCTGTCTGCCAGAAAGAGCCAACTGTCAAAGCTGAATACTGAGTGTGGCAGCATCGTTTCCGAGACATCTGAGATTCTAAGTGAGATTGAGAGGTTCTATGGGTAGCTGTACACATCATCGTTGGAGCCACACGCAAGTGTGAGTAACGATCCAAGAGCAAGTCTTATCCGACACTATTCCGATGATATCCCGGACGTCAGTCTGAGTGGGATTAGAATGGCTCTCCAGCACCTTAAAAATGGTAAAGCCCCGGGCGAAGATGGAATTACAGCGGAGCTTCTGAAAGCGCGTGGAATACCGGTACTTGATATCCTCCAGAAGCTCTTCAATTCCGTCCTCCATGGTGGCACTACTCCGGAGGCGTGGAGCATAAGCGCGGTGGTCTTGTTCTGCAACAAAAGGCGACAACGCTCTCTTGAAGAACTACAGACCGATTTTCCTTCTGAGCCGCGTCTACGTGCTGTTTTCGAGAGTCATTACGAATCGTCTCGCACGCAGACTTGACGATTTCCAGCCTCCCGAACAAGCCGGTTTCCGAAAAAGCTTCGGTACCATAGGTCACATACATAACCTGCGGCGGATTTTACAGAAGACCGAAGAGTACAATCTGCCACTTTGCCTGGCGTATGTGGACTATGAGAAAGCCTTTGATTCCGTCGAAATTTGGGCGGTGCTACAGTCCCTTCAGCGGTGCCAAGTTGACTGTCGGTATATCGAAGTACTGAAGTGTTTGTACAGTAAGGCTACGATGGCTATCCGAGTACAGAACCAGAGTTCGAAACCTATCCAACTGCAGAGAGGTGTAAGGCAGGGTGATGTTATATCCCCGAAACTCTTCACCGCTGCGTTGGAAGACGTTTTCAAGCTACTGGACTGGAAAGGATACGGTATTAGCATCAATGGCGAGTACATCACTCACCTTCGATTTGCCGACGATATAGTCCTTATGGCAGAATCGCTGGAGGACCTTATCACTTTGCTCAATGACCTCAATGGTGTCTCCCAACGGATAGGTCTTAAGATTAACATGGACAAAACAAATATCATGTTTAATGTCCATGTCACCCTATGCCGGTAGTTGTTGGGAGCACTATGCTCGAAGTAGTTTACGAGTACGTTTACCTGGGACAAATAGTCCGACTAGGTAAGTTCAACTTCGACTTCGAGAGGTCAATCGATGATAGACTCAGAAATGAGGATATCCGCAGTAAAACCGGAGTGACCGACATAGCCCAACGGATTAGTAAGCTGAAGTGGCAATGGACCGGCCATATAGCTCGAAGAACCGATAACCGATGGGGAAGAAAGGTTCTCGAGTGGCAGCCTCGTACCGGTAGGCGTAGTGTAGGGCGACCCCCCATTAGATGGAGTGAGGACCTGGTAAGCCATGCAGGAAGTCGATGGATGGAGGTGGCTCAGGACCGTGCTATGTGGCATTATTTGGGGGAGGCCTATGTCTTTTCAGCAGTGGACTTGTGAAGGGCTGTAATGATGATGATTATTTGTTTAATTTAATTTTTATTTTTAAAATTCCTTAAATTACATGAATCATGAATAAAACAAGTTTATTTTTTTAATTTGTCAACGTAAAGTGTAGGCAAAAAACTTCATACAAGGCCACGCTGAAAAAACCATTACGTAATTTCAATATCCGCCACTTCGGGAGCTTACTGTGGGTAATTTTGTGATTTTGTATTTGTCTCCTTATTTTGTGACTCCGCTTTAACTCTTTGGACTGTTTCTTCTATATTTGTTGAAACATGTGCCCATGCCATAAAGGATCATTGGGCTAAAGTGGTAGAAAAAAGCCGAAAATATTATTATGGATGACTTTGGAGGAGACATTAATTTTGACTACATTATTGGAAAAACAAATAATAATTAATCTTAACAACGACAGCTCAACTAGTTGTACTGAAAGTGATTGAATAAATTTATTTTATTTGGTCACGGGGAACCATGGGTGCTGGAAAGCGCCCGAAACGTCGGGAATTATAAATAAAAGTAACGATAAAAAGTAAAAATAAACGCGATAAAATCCGCAAAATGTCGTTTTAATCATGTATAGTGTTCGCGTATATATAGAAATACTATAATCAAATTACAGAAACTGGTTACGGTCTTATGAGAGAGAGAAAGAGATACATAAAGAGAGAGAGAGAAAGAGAAAGAGAGAAAGAAAGACGAAAGATAAAAGGAGAAATGTGCTAGTATGTTGCGCATGCGAAACCCATAAGGACTTTCCTTTTTGTCAACGATTGATTGAAGCGGAACTCCCATGGCGTAAGAAAACGATTCTTTGAAATCTATCTCCTCCGTAACCCGTAGGCCAATTTGCATAATTTTTTCGGCAATATTTGCAGATCAATGCAAACAAGGTTTGTAAACAATAAAAATCTGAATTAGATTTTTTTCTTTAGATATCTAATCATTTCGCTAATTTACATCTGCGCAATGTCACACCATTTGATTGAATCTTTTGTTGAAATAAATATAGTTATGACTAGACTTTTACTCAGTTACGTTTATGATTGCTGTTTTACTACCCGTTTATTTCTCATACCGTGCGCGGTATATGAAACGATTCTTAAAGAGAAAACTCCAATAAACACCAAAAACCTCAAGTATCAGGCTCAACACTTCCCACTGCTGGGCAAAGGTTTCTATAAAACTAAATAAATATAGACGACTACCTACCCATAGAAGTAATATCTACTGTACAGAAGTTTTATTTTATAGAATAAGGGTCACTACAAATGAGCACACAGTTTATCGGATGGTAAGTGGATACTGTGGTCTGTGGTCCATATATATCATCTGTATTTATCCTCCATTACAATTTATAATGCAGATGTGTTGTCACCCTTGAGGACTAAGATGTAATGCTTCATATCCATGTATATGATTTACGGTGGTTTTCTGTGAGAACGTGGTCCTCTTCTGGTCGAGGGGACCCATTCTTTCTACATCAATAATATAGCTGCACTACATTATACGTATATCTTATACATTTAATATATTTATACGTGGTAAAGCCATGCTGCAGTTATATTAGTAGTATAGTTGTAGCACGAATGGGTCGGCTCGACCGTGGAAGGACCACGCTCTCACAGAATATCAGCGTGAAATTTAGCTTAATGCTGCTGTGTTTCGTATGGTGAGTATAGAGAACCGGAGACCCTTACCGCCCTTACCCTTACTGAAAACGAGGCATTCCATCTCAGTCCTCACAGGTGACAACGCATCTGCATTTTGATTTTTAATGGAGGATAGATGTAGATGTCTATGGGCCGCAGCAATCACTTACCATCAGGTGGACTGTGTGCTCGTTTGTCATCCTCATCGTATATAAATATTTTTTTTTTATATATATAGAAAGAATATACCCCTATACATCACGATAACTGTTCATTAATTCAATCCTTCATATTATGTAGGAATAATTTATGCAAGATTTCTATATAGAAAAGTTGTTTTTATATGTTTCGTTTCAGGGCAATGTTCCTGCCGCAAACGCAGAGCGAGCGAGTGATGCTGCTATTTTGACTAATCAAATATTAATGACATCGGCTGGAAGAGACAGTCTTCGGGTACGGTTAAATATTTTTTTAGAATAAGGATGACAATCGATCATACAGTCTTTCCGATAGTAAGTGGATGCTGTGACTCATAAATTCTTACGTTTATCCTCGAATAAGAATTAAAATGCAGACTCGTTGTCACTCCTTAGGACTTAGATGAGAAATCCATCGTTTCCAGTAAAAAGGGTCTTCGGTTCCCTCCACTCACCATACAAAACACAGCGGCATTTAGCTACTATTTTACACAGGTATTCTATGCCATTCTTTCTTATTCAAGTCTTTCCATTCGAGCAGACACCAGATTCGTAATACTGCCATAATAACAGATGTAGCGTGTCTGTCTCCATCACGCTTGGATTACACATTTTTAAATTACTTTCACTGTTTTATATTTTGATGTTAAAACGTTGCGTTAATTCATTATAATTGAGAAGTTGCGTTTTAAAAATAAATTTATTGGTTTGTAGAATATGTAAATACACAAAATAACGCCTCAGTAGTTCACTATTTAATTTTTTTGCATATTTTTAACTCTCTTTTTAATTTTTCTACTTTAAGAAATATACGTAGTGTGGTTTATCTAAGAAATTAATCACTCTTACATATTGCGGCCGCCAAATTGCTCTGTTGCGCTCTGAAAGGTATAGGAGAGACAGTGTAATTATAGGCTGTGAGGCATTCTATCATAGTCCAATATTATTTTAAACTAGCTCTTCCCTGCGACTTTGCCCGCGTGGAATTGAATTTCATGGGGGTTTTTTTGCGCAGAACCCTAATTATTCTTTTCCTAAAATATAAGTAGCCTAAGTTTCTCCGTATAACATCATCTATCTGCCAGTGTTAGTCCCGTCAAAATTGGTCCAGTCGCTTCGGAGATTAGCCGGAACAAACAAACAAACAGACAGTCAGAAAGGCGGACAGACAGACAGACAAACATTAAAAATTGTTTTTTAATTGCATAACTGTATCGTTTATATTTTTATGTGCAGTTAGGAAAAAGCTACTATTTTCATATTACAATCAGACACTTCAATTTTATTTATGTATTTGTATAGATTATATCTATATTAGTAAATACTTTCTCTTTATTAGGAATAGCAAACAACTACATAGTATAATCTTACACAAAATAATGTTAACTAATGTAAAAATAAGAATAAATATGTAGTCAAATACACTATCCACATATTAACAAATGTGAACATAAATATAAATTATCGGACGCGATCAGATGCTGAGCAACAACAGCTGATATTGAGGAAGTAGTTAGGTACAGTCACCAACAATAAGATGTAAGCACCTACGTTTAACATTATTTAAGTAATATTAAAGTTTGTACTTAATTAAAGTGTACACATGTCAGTGCCAGCGACTGCACGTAATACAAAGTTAATCATTAACAGAACATAATTACAATTAACAACAAACATTTAAAAATTTATAAAGATGACCTAGGAGAGATTGTTGTTAAGAACTACGCAACTGCGCAACGTACAACATTTTATTCCATACATTATCTATGGTATAAGTGATGTGTAATAAAAAGTATCCATCTAAATCTAAATATGCACATAACGTAACAAAAGAGTTAAAAAAATGGTTAAAAAAACTCACTAAAAAGTGTTAAGTATATTACAGATGTAACGCTTGAATTTAAACTCAGAAAGATGGAATACGTCAGAGTCAACAAAGTTATCATTATAGATATCAATCATTTGACGCAGAGGGGAGCGGATACCTGCTTTGGTACGACATTTGGCAGTTGCGAACAGCTTACGAACGCGCACTCGTAAGAACCGTTCTTGGGACAATATAACATAATCTGTTGGTCAAGTCAGTACAATCAAATTTATTATTAATGATACCATGAAGTACCATACATACAAGGGGTTTACGCCTAAACTGAAGAGAACGCAGTTTATACCTATTCAACAACTGATCATATGACATAAATGTGCCATAACATCTGTAGTGCATGGATCGCAGATATTTACGCTGCACATTTTCAATTAAGTCTACATACTTATTGTACAAAGGGTTCCATAATTGTATGGCATACTCAAGTTGGGAGCGTACCAAGGCTTTATAAAGATAAAGATACGTACAGGGTTTCTTAAAGTTCTTACATGACCTCATCACAAAATCATACATTTGAAAGGCTTTTTTAACAATTTTGTCAATATGGAGATCCAAATGCAACTTATTATCCAATATGATACCTAAATCACACAAAGATGTGACTTTGTGTAATAAGACATTACAAAGAGAATAGCTATAATGTACAATATGATGTTTTTTTGAAAAATTTATATACCTAACTACATTTGGACAGGCTTAAATGTAGTTTATTGTCATTGCAGTATTCAGAAAGTCTCTTCAAATCCTGTTGTATTAGAAAGCAATCAGAGATAGATGTTATAGATTTATAAATTTTTAAGTCGTCTGCATACAAAAAAAAGTTACAATTGTGAAAACACTGTCCTATATCATTAATAAAAATGAAAAAGCGGACCAAGGATGGATCCTTGTGGCACGCCTGAAGTCACATGAATACTCTGAGATTGAAACCCATTGATAACTACTTTTTGGCTTCTGTTCATAATGTATGACGAAAACCAGCGTAATAGATTACCCCGTATGCCATTATAGGCAATTTTCTTTAAAAGCAGTTCATGGTCTACCTTGTCGAAGGATTTTCGAAAGTCGGTATATATAGCATCCGTTTGAGCATTATTGTCCATATTATCAAAAAGAAAGGATACATAGATCATGAGATTAGTGATGGATCTTCCCTTTACGAAGCCATGTTGTACTTTCAAAATGCTATCATATATAACTGGATAAATTTCATTATGAACCAGTCTTTCAAAAAGCTTCGACAAGGCAGACAGAATAGAGATTGGTCTGTAATTCTCCACCTCATGCCTTGAGCCGTTTTTATGTACAGGCACTATATTTGCCCTTTTCCAGATCTCAGGAAAGATCCCAGCTGCAATACATTGGTTATAAATAATACACAGAGGCTTACAAATACTAACAGCAGTTTTAACTAGAAAGAGAGCTGGAAGTTCATCTGGGCCAGAACCTTTTGACGGGTCTAAAGATTGAAGTTCTCTAAGGACCTTACTTCCACTAAAGTATAGATCGCATAAATGAACATTATTAGGAACAGATGTCGAGGGTTCAGACCAATTTTTAACAGGCAAAGTTGAAGGCTCATATACTGAGTTGAAAAACTCAGAGAATAAGTCACAGATCTTATCAGGTTCACCGGCTACAAAACCATTATAACACCATTACAACACACAAGGGAACACAAGACGATGTTTTGTTATTGGAAATGAAAGACCAAAAATGTTTAACATTATTTTGAATACTATTTTCAATTGAGCTAATATATCTAGAGAAACATTTACGGCTTCCAATTTGAAACGTTTCCTATAAATTGAGAACTGTTCATAATCAGATGCATTTCTATACTTTTTTCATCTAACCCATGATTTACGTTTGTTTTTTCCGATTCGAATTAGGGAAGATGTAAACCACACCGGATATCTTGCAGATCTGGAGGACACTGGTGGAGTATGTTTATCGATTATATTAAAAACTACATTATAGAAAATCTCAACTGCCTCTTTGACATCATTCGTATTTAGCAATGAATACCAGTCTAGTTTATCCAAATCTTCAATTATAAACTCATAATTAGCTTTGTGGAAGTTGTACTTCAAAATAGATTGTCGACGCATAGTAGGTAATGGTATGGTATTAGATATGAAATTAATACTAAACGGCGGGTGATGATTATCCCTAGGTAAAAGAATATTCGTAAGTGGCGTGATACTACATTCAATGTTGGAAATCAATAAATCTAGTATATTACCTCGAATGTTTTTAATGAAATTATACTGACTAGCATCGTGAAGCGACATGAAGTTAGAAAGTTGGGTAGATAGCGGTGACAATGCACTACAGTCCAAGGCTCCAATATATCCATCTTTAGGAAACCATGTGATCTCAGGTAAATTATAATCACCAAAAAATGAAAATCCTACTACGGAGGTGTCTTCAAGAAATGTTGTTAATAGCTCTAAATACGCAGAATATATATCAACTGAAGTTTTAGGAGGTATATAGACTGTAGCAATAATATGACGCTTAAAGCCACATGAGCTAGGGAGGCAAACGCACACATTCTCAATGCTATCCAGCAAAGTGTTCTGATACCCCGGGATAATAGGCATAGGTCTTAAACCCTTCAGAAATGCAATCAAGACACCACCCCCGTCACTCTTGCCAGTAACGCTACGATTGCGATCACAACGGTAAACTGTATAACTCTGATCTATGAATTCGCTATTATCAATTTCTGGTATTAACCAAGTTTCCGTCAGAATAATAAGGTCATATGCATGAGATAATATATTCATATACAACGTATGTAGCTTAGTACGAATACCTCTGCAGTTTTAATAATAACACACTATATTAACCATTCTTATAGTCAGAATAATAAATTAATGTTACCATGCAATGATATGAAAACGTCGCATTTAGGCATAAAAATATATAATGAATACGAACCCCGTACAATATAATACTTTACTTAATAGATGATTGCGTACACTCCCAACTTTAATAAGGCGATGAAACAACTTTATTAGTAACAATTCGACTGCACATACACTTAATCTTGTCAGATCCGATTGATACACTATATCAATAGCAAATGAGCTACGACAAAAAACAAATATAACATCAAAAATAGAAAAAAGAAAAAACACTATTTTAAGATAGTAAATAGATGCTAAACTATTTGGAAATATCGCTAAGTTTCTTACTAGAACCGGCTTTAATCTTAGAGATGTCTCCCTGAGTTCGTATAGCGATAGCCACATGGTTGTTTGATTCCCGTACAAGTGTTGTCGCGTGCTTAATGCAAACGTATTGGTAGTTCTCTGTCTTTGAAGTTTCACGGCAGTCACGAAAGAGCTTCTTCTTTTCCAATGTTAAATGCTCATTCATAAAAACCAACTTGGATATACCAGAAATGCCAATATCATTGGTTGTAACACTTGAAACTTTGAAACCTTTACAATAATATTTTTTGGTCGATTTGTATGGGTTTGCGCTTGTGGAACACGATGAATGGAAAGGATATCTCTCTGCTGTATAGATAGATTAATATGTTTACCAATATTTGCCACTAGTTCCATCAAATTTTCATCCCTTTTTTCTGGGACACCACATATCTCAATGTTACAGCTCCTAGCATGCTGCTCCAAAGCTTCAATCTTCGACTTCAGAGAAGATATGATTTCGAGTTAGCTTTTTGTCCCAATTTGTCATTCATGTCACAATTAAAGTCCAGTGCATTCTGGATCTCCAATACATCTCTTTGTAAGTTATCATGCTTGTTCTCTATTAGGTGTAATTTCTGTTTTAAATTAGTCTGGTCATGACGCAGAGACGCAAGTTCACCCTTTACGTCCTTCGTGGTGACAGATAGTGTATCCAAGTCGGAACGCATTAAATCGATATTCTCACTAATGCTTGATATTTTATTACTTCAATCTTCTCTCAAATCTTTGAGCATGTTTTTCATCATATGTGTAAATTGCTTCTTAACTCACAGTCAGGTTGTTTCCGCAGTGACACATTTTGTAGTGCATCATTTTCTATGCTCAAATCAGGGTTAGATGAGAATGGCTTGGATGGTGAACGCAGCATAGTAGTGCAAAATCCAAAGTATTATCGATTAGAATGTAAACAAAAATAAATATTATTTATTTTCGTTTTAATAAAGTATCGTTAGTACCTTGGTAGGCCGTATGACGTAGTAGATACGCAGGCAGCTGCAACAAAACCTGTTTACTGGCACGATTCAAGTGATGTTATGTGAGGTAGGTCACGGTCGGCGAAATATTATATAGATAAATACGCTGTTTTCTCTTCAATTTCACGTCAGAATTGAACAAACTATATCTTGTTTTGAAGGTCACTTTACAGTCATAAAAACCAAACTAATATATTTAGCACTTTGTAACGTTTTACTATAAATTTTATTGAAAAACACGGAGAGTAATGACAAACTTTGTTGCTCAGCGGTTGTTCGCGCACGGAGTGACTTATTGACTGACTTCTGACTTATTTTAACAAAACCATAAAGTTGAATCATTTATACATTACAACGCCAATAAGATTCGGTGCATGCAATCAAAAAGAGTATGCACTAATTTCTTTTAAGAATTCAAATATTCATGTAAGATGGTCGTAAGTTGGCACGTTGTCTCTCTGGATCGAAGTAAGGGTACTCCAGGTAAGCTAGTCACTACGATAACAGCTGAACTTGCGATTCCCTGGTCTTGTTGACTTACTTTTAAGTTCTAGCTTTAATTACAAAAAGTCGAATCTAATTTCATTAAAACTAATTCATTACTTCTACTTATACTCCATTGTGGACAATGGAGTATAAGCAGTGAACTGGTGTGACTTAGTAACATAGTACTTTTTTATAAAAAGAAAAGGGTGACAAACGAGCACACATTCCATCTAATGGTAAGTGGTTACTGTAGTCCATAGACATCTATATCTATCCTCGATTCCAAATAAAAATGCAGATTCGTTTTCACGCGTGGGAACTAAGATGGAATGCCTCCTTTCCAGTAAGAAGAGTCTCCGGTTCTCTACACTTACAATACGAAACACAGCAGCGTTAAGCTGCTATTTTACACTGCTATTCTGTGAGACCATGGTCCTTCCTCGTTCGGGGCATCCCATTCGTGCTACAACTAATACTATAATATAACTAATAATATAGCTGCAGCATGTCTTTAACATGTAAAAACTTTCTAAGATTATTAAAAGTATCAGGAAAATGTTTAAATTAATTCTTATAGATCCGCGTGAAACATTAAAACAGCGTATTTCGCCTAATTTATAGAGAAAATTCCTCCCTCCTATGGTCATTTTAAAACTAATTCGCTAAATTGCACGTGAAAATTCAAATGGTATGCCTGATTTAGTTTAAAGAGTACCTCCTTCCCTCCCTCAATTGTGTGCACTATCACCACCACTATGAATCCCAACATCACTACACTTAGAAAAACATACCATTTTCGATAATACGCCACATGTTTCACATCTAAACGAGGCATAATCAGAAAAAAAGGCTCTGCGATTGCTGACTGCTAAGCGGTAGTGTATCTTTTGGTGTTGGGGTACTTCCGGTAAGTCATTATCTCACAGATGACCATGCATCTGAGGGCTTTTTTCCTATTATTTGGGTCTCCTCTTTATACGTTTTTTTAAAGGATATGGTGACAAACTAGCACACAGTCCACCTGATGGTAAGTGGTTGCTGTGGCCCAGAGACATCTACATTTATCCTCGATTACGAATCAAAATTCAGATGCGTCGTCATCCGTGAGGACTGAGATGGAATGCTTCATTTCGGTGCGATGACTCATGCGGTGTTTTGTACCCTCCGTAAATTCGTAAGTTTAGTTTTCTGTAGGTTTCACTTCAACCGAGTGTGAACTACACACATGTTTTTTTATCACCAGGTTATCTATGATCATCTTCAGTTGCACTCGGAATGGGTTTATAAAGAATTGGGAATTCAGGAGACTTGCGACGTGGAAATACCATTGAACAAGGCCCCGCTCCTGTATATCATGTTCCATATCGGTCGAAGACCTTTCGATCAGGTACCACTCTAAGATATTCTATGCAAGAGTCGCCCCTCTCTGTAATATTTTCTTCATTCATAAGTATTGCATCAATATCATGCGTTGAAAAAGTATGATAGCTCGAATCAAGACAAAATTATTTTAAAAACTTTAGCAAAATATTTAAATAAAATTAGTTTTACCGGGTTTTATCGCGTATATTGACTTATTTTATATTCCCGACGTTTCGAGTAATTTATTACAGCACCCATGGGCACGGAGTGGACTAAGGTGTTCGACGTCACAATGTCATAGTTAACCACTGCTGCCTCCAGATTAAAATTATTATTATTTGTTCCGATCAATGCAATAACTTAAATCTGGGGGTAGCCGTCGTTAACTATGAAATTGGGTCGTCGAACCTCCCCCCCCCCGTGACCATGGGTGTTGTAAAGTACTCGAAACGTCGGGAGTATAAAAAGAAGGTAATATACGCGTATATAATATTTTTTTTGCGCCCGAAGCAAATATGGGCAACCCTCCGGAAAGCGGGGGGAGGGAGGCGGTGAATGCTCATAGCATACCACGCAGCCGGCTGCGTGGTTATGTGGTGACTTTTACCCACTAAACCCAACCTTTTAGGAACTGGCTTAACGATCTGACTAGAGATCTCTAAGCCGTATACGAACGCGACCCTCCTTGGCAGAAAGGAGGGCGCATGAACAGTAGTAATTCAGAGACTGCCTTTTAAACTGATTCACAAGATGGTAAGAATCATTTTCCGCATAGCAGTATTAGCAGGTATTACCATACTCACCTAGTCCTGTCTCCAAGCAGCACAAGCACTGCTGTATTCCGTTTAGAAGGATATAGAGAGCCAGTAGACTTTTTATTTAAACATTGAATGATGGTAAGTAGCTACTGCGGCCCATTGTTACCTGCAACCAATTTGAATAAAATAAATAAAAAAAAAACTATAACTGTGTTGTCACCCTTGAGGACTAAAATTGTATTCTATTACAATCATTTGTGCTACTTTTCGTATGTTTATATCTTCCTCTGATCTAATTGCATAATCGTTATTTATCGGCTAAGATGTTTTTTATAACACCCGAATGACAAATGAGCTAATAATAGTTCACCCGAAGATATATTATGTTATAAGGGTGTAAAACGAGCACACAGTACACCGGATGTTAAGTGGTTGCGTAATCCTCATTATGAATCAAAATGCATATGCGTGGTCGTCTGTGAGGACTAACATGGAATGGACTTGTTTCCAGTGAAATTGTTTTCCGGTTCTCTAGACTCACCGTACGAAAAACAGCAGCATTAAGCTGCTATTTGACCATGGTCTTCTAGTGGTCCTTCCCCGGTCGAGCCGAACCATTCGTGCTACAACAATACTACTAATAAAGCTGCAGCATGGCTCTACCACGTATAAAAATGTTGAAATGTTTAATTGTCTGTTATTAATTATTATACTGGCTCTCTTATACTTTTTATATTTAGAAGAACATTGCAGCTTTATTAGAGCAACGTACGAACGAAGAAGAATATCACAAAATTCCGCGTGAAATAGCAGCATAAGAATAGGATAGAATAATTTTTACTAAATATATCTGCACCGGCTAACGAGTGATAACTGAATTTCTGCCATAGTTGTTACGTTTGACAAGCGGGTTGGCAACCGCAGTTTCTTATTTCAAATCAAATCAAATAATTTATTCAGTATCCGAGTTTTTACATAGCAGTGTGGTGAATGAGGATTTCTTTTAAGTAAATAAACACTTGTGTTAGAAATCCCCCCCCTCTCCGTAACATTGATTAACGAATACTAATGTGATACCTATTTACTTCAATACTTAATCTAAAAACATATTTTTAATTTTGATTTTTAAAGTTGCTCCAAAACAAAAGTTATTTTAAGTAGTTATTAGGAAGGCGCTGCTCCTAATCTGATCTGTTTCCCTCCGTCGCCGCTTACGACACCCACGATATAGTATAGGGTATATGATATAGGGTAATAGATATTTTAACACCGCCGCTACACGGTAATTACTGCGTTAAGCGTCAAATAAAATCTGTCTGGATAAATCCATATATTTTTATTTTTAAACAGTTTCTGAGAGGCGAATGGCCTATGCCATGGAGCAAGCTAGTAGCCGTTGCTAAAGCTTGGTCGGGCGTCGAAGGCGCCAAAGTCCATATCAACAGAAGAACTGACGTACGCAACGTGAAAACTCATGGCAAGTGTAACAAGCAGTTATTGGAGCTGTACGGGTTGTTTAAAGCGCCACCTGAAGGACTTCTGTAAAGAAAATTGCTTATTATATGTATAAGAATATCTCTGTTTGATAATGAAATGCGGTAATTTTTTCGATCGATCTTTAACTTATCTCAAATTTCAAGACAAAGAAAATATATAAAACTTTATAAACATGTCGAACATAACTTCATATTGGCATGGAAACTGCTAATATATTTTACCAGGTGCCTCAACGTTATGTCTGTTTATAATATAATAATTTTATTAGAAAACCTAAATGTGCATATTTGTTTGATGACTTTCAGTACACGCTTTATTACATTCATTAGAATAATATTACTTGTTATATAATAAGATTTAGACAAATCATCTAATTGCGAAGTAAATTTTAATTGTAAGTACCTAGGTACATAGGACATGAAAAAGCAAAAATGATGTCAAGTAGGTACAATATACTACGAGGTGTAGCTGAAAATACCGTAAAACAACTTGTTAATGATTGAACATATAACATATATCTGTTTATGTTATATCATCTTTCTATATTGTATAGTCTTTTGAGGAAATAAAAATTACAAAATATTTAATGATTTTTAGTTTTACGAGTTTAAATTTTTACTATCTTAAAGTTCAAACTAGGACTGTTGATATCTTTTAAAGTATCGGATTTTAGATAAATCGATAATTATAAATATATCAATAACGGAGTTTTATATATAATTTTAGTTATCGATATAATATGAGCCGAGTGTCAAAAGGCGTAACTTACAAAATCTCAATTTAGATGTGATAAAAATATTTAAATATTGATATTATTCACACTTCTAGGTCAGCACATATGTTTTGTTTTTTTTTTGTTTCTTAAATAATATTGTCTGTGGTTCCTATAAACATCGTAAAATCTTACGGTACACGCGAAAAATGTGTTATATTTTATATTTCAATTTATGGTAAGTAACGTAGCAATTCATTTAATAACAGTTTAATATTAAAAAAATATTTAAAGCAATATAATCACCATATTGAGCTTTTGCAAATTTATCCCTTTAAAATAAACAAAACGCGCGTTACGTCAGTTCGTTCTAAGAGAAACGTGACAATGGCAGCCAGAGATGCGTCACTTGCTTTTGGGCCGGCCCCATGCACCGAATAAAAGTAAAGTTCTTATATAATATTGAAAATAAAGTTTTATCTTTTGAATAAGTACGTACTTTTAAGTACACTCGAATTTTTATATGTGTTATAAATTAATGCTTTTCGTTGTTAAATGAATAAAGTACTGTTACGAGCTTGAGGTTCGTGACAATAAAAATTGCCGATAAAATTACCTAAATTAACACTTTAATTTACTTTACACAATTAAAGTTAAAACACTAATAATTTAAACACATTAATTCACTTAATTCCACTCCGAAGCTTCGCTTGTTTCGCCCAAATCAACACTGCCTTGATCGCATCTTGCAGCGCCTATATATTTGAATTAGCAAAGAAATATCCAGAATGTTCAAGTAAACACGCGGAAGGTATCGAGCGTTCGAGTTTCGACTAGGCGCTGTCAGTTGAGCGATTTGTGATGTCATTTTCTCAATGCTCCCCTCGCTCTCGTTCCTGACACTAGATGGCGCTAGTTGACTTATTCATGCAACACTGCCCCCTCCTAAGACATGCTCGTCCCGAGCATTATCGGTCCCATAATAACGCGCCAAGCGATCCACATGGACGATCTTAGGAGTCCCTCTTGCGCCTTTCTGTAACGACTCCGCAATGTCAAGGGCTGTCCTATCCCGTGGTGCACCAACATTGTACAATTTCGGTGCTCCTCTACTACGTGTCCGAGGTCCCCGCACGGCCGCACAACTTGTACATGTACGACACCAATCCTCGACATCGTCACGATAATGGACCCAGTAAAACTGTTCTCGGACCTTCAGTAGAGTTCGTTTAACTCCCAGATGGACTCTTGAACGACCATTATGGCACAACTGTAGAACATTCGACACTTTAACTTTAGGGACAACCATTTGCAAACGACAGCTGTCTCTTCGACCATTGTCCCATTTACGGCACAGGACTCCATCCTGAATCAGCAAGCTGTCCCATTGGGCCCAATAGCTTTTCGTGGTTGAACTCATCGCTGAGACGTCCCTCCACTTAGGCTTGGTAGCACGGGCCTTCATCCATCCCAGAATCGGCTTGATGTCTGGATCTTCCTGCTGTGCATGTCGTAGGTTGTCCTTCCATTCGTTGCTGAGGTGGTCCGTCCTGAGCATCCTCATGGATACCACCTCCTTACTCTCTTGCCTACTACAATGGTTGCAATCTTCGGGACAAGGTCTTCTTGACAATGCATCTGCGTTGCCGTGAGATTTCCCGCTGCAGTGTCTGATAGTAAAGTCGTATTCCTGCTGCTGCTGGGCGGTGCTGTTAGCCGCACTTCCTTTCTGAGACCGTTCACCTTCCCTTCCTAGGGTGTGCTTAGGGCAGCTGGACCGAAGATGGCCCCTTTCCCCACAGCCATAGCACCTAGGGCTGTATCTTTTATTGTGGTCGCGAACCGTAACTGCTGTAACCTCCCTAGCGTGAGGTGAACGATGATCCTGTCGCCGCCAGGCAGTGCCGTTAGCTGCACTACCCTCTCGAGATCGATCAACTCTCCTTTCCACGGTTCGTTTAGGGCAGCTGGATCGAAGATGGCCCTTTTCCCCACAGCCATAGCACCTAGGGCTGTATCCTTTGTTGCGGTCGCGAACTGTAGCTGCTGCAACCTCCCTGACGCGATGGGAACGATGATCCTGCCGCACGGCTTCTACCTCCAGTGCATGGGCCAAGGCGTTCTTAAGCGTCTCGTGGTGCCCGAGCCTCACAGCAGCTCTGACTTCCAGGTCGCGGATGCCGTCGATGAATGTCTGCACCAGGTTCCCTTCAATGAGCGCAGGTACAGACCGGTATGCTTTTCGAACCATCTTCTCCACCTCAAGGGCCCACTGCTGCAGGTTCTCGTTGCTGCGCTGCACGCGATCTTTAAGCTGCGCGCGAAAGACGTGTTCCAGATGAGCGTCGCCATATCTCGCTTCCAAGGCCTCAAGAAGCTGCTCATAGGTCACTTTCTTACCGAGAGCTTCCAACACAGTTAAGGCTTGGTCACGCAGGCCTAGGGTGAGTGCAGTCATGGCTTGGCTTTTATTCCAGCCGTTCGCCTCCATGACGGCCTCGAACTGGATTTTGTAGGCCGACCAGGAAGAGGTCCCGTCGAACGGCGGCACTTTGAATCCACGTAGCGAAGGTGCTGCAGCTACTACGGGAGCTGTAGTTCCATCCCCAATTTTGAGGTCGTTTAGTGATTTCTTCATGTCAGCCACTACGTTGTCAACCCGATTGTTTACTTGGTCGATTCGGGTTTCAGCTTTCTCGATTCGGTTTTCAGCTTTCACGATTTGGGTTTCGGCTTCCGACAGGCGGTTGTCATGCTGAGCAACCCTATCCTTCACCTCCTTTATCTCCTTCCCGAAGGTAGCGTGAAGGTCCTTCATGAGGAGCATCTGCTCTTCCAACCGACGGGCCTGTTCCTCCTGTCCGTCCCGCAGCTGCTCTTCCAATCGGCGTGCCTGTTCCGCCTGCTGGCGAGCCTGTTCCTCCTGCTGCTCTTTCAACAGACGGGCCTGTTCCGCCTGCTGCTCTTTCAACAGACGGGCCTGTTCCGCCTGCTGGCGAGCCTGTTCCTCCTGCTGCTCTTTCAACAGACGGGCCTGTTCCTCTCGTCCGCGCTGCAGCTGCTCCTGTAGCATGGCCATCAGAGCACCTAAGTCAGGTGCTGCAGATGTAGGAGCTACTGACGGGCCCGCAGTCTCCGTGGCTAGCTGTTGGCCCTCCGACGTCTGCGGCGTTGCACCACCAAACCTCCTCTGGTCCGTCTCCTGCTGGCGTTGACTTCGGGTACGGACACCCTCCGTTTCCTCCTTAGGTAAAATCGGCATGATTTAATCCCACTTCTGACACCAATTGTTACGAGCTTGAGGTTCGTGACAATAAAAATTGCCGATAAAATTACCTAAATTAACACTTTAATTTACTTTACACAATTAAAGTTAAAACACTAATAATTTAAACACATTAATTCACTTAATTCCACTCCGAAGCTTCGCTTGTTTCGCCCAAATCAACACTGCCTTGATCGCATCTTGCAGCGCCTATATATTTGAATTAGCAAAGAAATATCCAGAATGTTCAAGTAAACACGCGGAAGGTATCGAGCGTTCGAGTTTCGACTAGGCGCTGTCAGTTGAGCGATTTGTGATGTCATTTTCTCAATGCTCCCCTCGCTCTCGTTCCTGACACTAGATGGCGCTAGTTGACTTATTCATGCAACAGTACTTTAAAACAATAGATGATTTTTGTTCTACAGCGACCGAAAGGTCAATATCCGTTTTTCTCAATCGATTTGGCACGAACTATATTTGAATGTGTTACTTTGGTAAAATAAATAAAATGTGAAAAAAATTTGTTAGGTAGCGATTTTATTCCTTAATCCTAAGCCACGTTGCTCTATAAATGTGGCTATTTTATAACATAACTAGTTGCTTCTCAGAAGGTACACATTTCTGTGTATGACATGATTTAAATAAAAAAACTTCTATAACCTCAAATCGTTCTTAATTATGTGACTACAACTGTATAATATGACTCCACCATAAATTGCCAAAAAGTACGGTTCCTAGTCAACTGCATGATGTTACATCAGATCTACACACCGTGGGGTGTCACCACACGCTTGCCAGTACGAAGCTGCCGCACGGTAACCTTTCTTCCTTGTCGGTTATCGGTTTTTAAAACTATGTGAACGTAATAAAATTATCGTACCCAATAAGTTTTCGAAACCAAAAGTTTTTTATTTTAAATGCAATTCTTGCGACATAAAAGTAATGGTCTTGTCTAGTATCTGCTATATCTAGGATACTTTGTGTTACATTATATTGTTAACATATTTATCTAGCTTAAGACCTTTGCTAAATGGACACAAATAGGTACAAAAGACAATGCACAAGGTATGT